GTGTTGGAAAATGTGAATATGAAGTTTGAGATCAAGCTGCGTGAAGTTGCGCAGATGTTGGACTGCAGTCCAGCTATCACTGCTATTGGTGAAGCGCTGTCTCGCCTTGTGTTATGGTCTTATGATGATGATGATGTTCAGAATCCGCTGGAGCGTTACCAGTGCAGACTGTGCAATTTTGGAACTGGCGGACAGAAAGAGTTTTTGGAACATTTCGTGGAGAAACACAGTGGAGGTGCCGATGCCAGCCGTGTGCTCATCGAGTATCGTAAGAAGGTCATTGGACTATTGACACACTTGGGCCCCACAGTTTCTTGTCTGCGCTGACCTTTTGTGGGATCGGGGTACTGAGCTTTTTGTAGCTATTTGTGTGGAATTTGTATCATAAAGTGAGGTAATAGTTTTAATTCACGGCGTCGGGGTACTGAGCTTTTTGTGTTGTATTTCTGTTAACACGATCGGAGTAGGGTAGTGTTACATGTTTGATGTGAGATGTCATGGTACTGAGATTTGCTGATGATGTTTTCATGAAGTGATGCATCAGGTCACCAGCTTTGCTTCGCAACGTCGGCTCATGGAGAATGCTGATGAAAGGCTTCGACAGCCCGAGCAAGGAGGTCGCTTTGAAACTGCATGCGTGGTGTGTGCTCGCAGGTTTTGGCGGGAGCAGCTGAAGATGTTAATCTTATTCCAAGATCCGGCTGGCAGCACCGAGATGGAGAACGGTGCGGTGGATGTGATTCCGTGTGGTCAACAGGAACGCTTGTGTCGAATTCTTGGAGTTGAAAGATACAGTCGAAGATGGCCGAAGATCCCTTTGGAGGCTCTGCATGCTTCGGCTGTTGAACATCCATACTGCAAGGGGGAGCATTTGCTCTTACACAAGCATCGGATGCCGGTGGACTTGAAGGACCCTTACCACTGACTGCACGGGTTTGTTGCTTTCATTAAGGGATCACGGTACCAACTTGTTTGTAGCTAATTGTATGAATTTGTGCTTCAGTATACAATGAGCTAAGATTTTCTGTTCACGGCATCGGATTACTCGATTTTTTTTGTGTGAAGTTCTAGTAATATGTTCGGATGTCACTGCAATTGCAGGATCCTTGCCTGGTGTGCAGTGACTGCAAGGGCTCGTTGATGTCATCTAGTCTGACGTTGCCTCGGCACAGCTTGGCCAATGACCTTTGGATGGGCGAGCAACTGTCCGCATTGCGTGGCCTGGCCTCGGCCACGAAGCGACTTTTGCCGATGACACGGGCGTGCATGCAGGTTGTGGTATTGCAGCCCGGGCATTTGTCGCGTGAGGAACGTCAGCATGGCTTTGTAGGGAATTCGATTTTTCTCCCGCAAGCAAAGCCGTCTTCAGTGCTGACCACGCTCCCTCCAAAAGATGTTGATATGCAAGATGCAGTTTTGTTCCCGAGAGCGCCTGCGAAGGGTTCTTCGTAAAAAAGCAGCCGTTATACTAGATCTTCACACCTTCACACCTGCAGATCTAGATCTTCACACCTTCACACCTGCAGATCTAGATCTTCACACTCTCACATCTACCGATCTACATCTTCACACCTTCACATCTGCTGATCTACATCTTCACACCTTCACACCTGCAGATCTAGTTTTTTGACACCCTCACATCTGCAGATCTAGTTTTTTGACACCCTCACATCTGCAGATCTAGATCTTCACATCCTCACACCTGCAGATCTAGATCTTCACACCCTCACATCTGCAGATCTAGATCTTCACACACTCACACCTGCAGATCTAGATCTTCACATCCTCACACCTGCAGATCTAGATCTTCACACCCTCACACCTGCAGATCTAGATCTTCACACCTTCACACCTGCAGATCTAGATCTTCACACCTTCACACCTGCAGATCTAGATCTTCACACCCTCACATCTGCAGATCTACATCATCACACCTTCACACCTGCAGATCTACATCATCACACCTTCACACCTGCAGATCTAGATCTTCACACCCTCACACCTGCAGATCTAGATCTTCACACCTTCACATCTGCAGATCTCCCCTCGCTCTTCTTCTATTCTCTCTTAAGGCGGGGGCGGTGCCGCCAGAGTGCCACGAAACGCAACCCTTTCGCACGAAATGGACATTGGACGTCCAAAACCTAGGTAAAATTGCGATTTTGATGCGTCGCGCGCAACCCTTTCGCACGAAATGGACGTTGGACGTGAAAAACTGAGGAAAAACTGCAACTTTTATTGGTCGCGCGCAACCCTTTCGCACGAAATGGACGTTGGATGTCAAAAACTGAGGAAAAATTGCAACTTTTATTGGTCGCGCGCAACCCTTTCGCACGAAATGGACGTTGGACGTCAAAAACTGAGGAAAAATTGCAACTTTTATTGGTCGCGTGCAACCCTTTCGCACGAAATGGACGTTGGACGTCAAAAACTGAAGAAAAATTGCAACTTTGAGGTGTCCCGCGCAACCCTTACGCACGAAATGGACGTTGGACGTCAAAAACTGAAGAAAAATTGCGACTTTGAGGTGTCAATCGCAACCCTTACGCACGAAATGGACGTTGGACGTCAAAAACTGAAGAAAAATTGCGACTTTGAGGTGTCAATCGCAACCCTTTCGCACGAAACGGACGTTGGACGTCAAAAACTGAGGAAAATTGCGATTTTACTTGGTCAATCGTAACCCTTTCGCACGAAATGGACGTTGGGCGTCAAAAACTGAGGAAAAATTGCGTTTGTGTGTGAAAGCGTCTGTGCGTGTGTAAAAAGCATCTGCGTGCAAAAGCGTCTGTGTGTAAAAGCGTTCGTGTGTCAACGCGTCTGTGTGTAAAAGCGTTTGTGTGTGAAAGCGTGTAAAAGCGTTTGTGTGTGAAAGCTGGTAAAAGCTGGTTGGCCGGTTGTTTTGAAGAAAATGTGTCATTGGAAGGAGGCAGACACCACCATCTGTATTTGCTGTGGTGCCAACCAAGAACCCGGCGATCCAAACGAGTCAGACGATAGCTGGACATCTCAGCAAGTCTCTGCTGGCTGGGCAAAGGTCATGACCGTGACAATACCACACTTTCGTCATCATCATATGAAATATATCAAAAAAACAGTCAGAAGCATAGAAAATGTTTGGGGGACAATGGCAGCCGAGAGATGTTACATCTGCGGGCACTGCAACGACTGCGTTGTGAATCTCGAGTATGAGCATCCTGCTGACTGGCTGGAAGATCTTTCTGTGTTCACAGAGATGCTGGAACTTAGGTCGTGTCCGTGGAGGTGCCCAGATAAAGATCGACCGCAGTAGCCGGATTGCTGCAGTAGTAAAAGCGGCAAACATGCCACATCTGCAGCATCATGGTACCGACCTTTGCTTGGAAGCAGCTTGTGGGAGCTGGAAGGCTTGCATACCGAGTGGCACATGGAACTGAGCGCAACTGGCGCAAATTAATCTGTAGCAGTGTTCGTCTGGAGAGACTGTTCGTGACGAACATGCAAAACCAGTAGCCAACTGTTGTTTGTCTGTAAAGATTTTTTTTTTCCATCCTGTAGGGACATCGGAGAAATGCAGTGAAACAGGTGTCATCCTTGCCATCATGATATCGAACTTGCTATTGTGGAATCATTCACAGCATTCTTGCACGGACTTCTAGATTCTCTTGGATGCCATGGTACGGAGCCTTTGTTTGCCCACCTGTGTTGGCAACTGAGGTCATCCACGGCATCATGGTGCCGAGCTTATTTTGTATCTCAAAGAGCGGATGCCTTGCATTGGATTGTGCGTTGATCATGGTACTGAGCCTGGTCTTGTGCACTTTTGCGATTTTTTAGCATTTCCATTGCAACTATGTTTGCGCACCTTTGTTTGCAACTGAGGTCACCCAGTGGTGCCGCGCTTTGTGAGCGTCTCTGTGTAAAAGTCTCTGTGGAAGCGTCTGTGTGTAAAAGTGTTTGTGTGTAAAAGCGTCTGTGTGTAAAAGGGTCTGTGTGGAAAAGCGTCTGTGTGTAAAAGTGTCTGAGTGTAAAAGCGTCTGTGTGTAAAAGCGCCTGTATGTAAAAGTGTTTGCGTGTAAAAGCGTCCGTGTGTAAAAGCGTATGTGTGTAAAAGTGTTTGTGTGTAAAAGCGTCTGTGTGTGAAAGGGTCCGTGTGGAAAAGCGTCTGTGTCTGTGTGCAAAAGCATCTGTGTGTAAAAGCGTTTGTGTGTGAAAGTGTGTGTGCGTCTGTAAAAAGGCATCTGCATGTAAAAGCGTGTGTGTGTAAAAGAGTCTGTGTATAAAAGCGTCTGTGTGTTAAAGTGTTTTCGTGTAAAAGTCTCTGTGTGGAAATGCGTCTGTGTGTGTGTGCATGAAAAACGTCTCTGTGTGAAAGCGTCTGTGTGTAAAAGTGTTTATGTGTAAAAGATTCTGTGTGTAAAAGTGTCTCTGTATAAAAGCGTCGCGTTTCTTCGCGTTCACGGAATGATGGTGCCGCGCCTTTTTCCGCAATGTGTGTGGGAACTACCATAATAAAATGAGATAGCACATGTCATTCGCAGACTCATGGCACTGAGCCTCCTGTGCACTTTTGTTGCTCACATTACATTTCTTCATGTTTTCTTTCTACCCCCCCTTTCATTCTCTCTCTCTATCTCTTGCTTTCTCTTTCTCTCTCTCTCTCTCTCTTTCTCTCTCTCTCTCTTTATCTCTGCCCCCTCTTTCTCTCTGTGGTTGCAAGACACATGTCATCTGATGCCCTCTACCAAATATTCTCTTCTTGATCAATCTTACTTTTTCACACCATATCTTTCACACTATTCACCGACTATCTTTTACGACTACCATCCTCAGAGCTGCTTGATAAACATCTTTTTCGCTCTCGGGCCAACCGTCGTCTAGTTTGATTTCAAACCAGTTTTTTGATTTCAGAGGGGATTTTCTGTTGCCAGCCTAGGTCACTTTAAAGGCAACAGCTCTCATGAATTTCGATCCATACCATATTGATCACCGAACTTCAATTCGAGCCTGGATCAGTGCCCATGTTGGATGGTCCTCTCGTGTCCTCTGGAAGCTGAAGTGAAAAATGACACCCCTGGGCCCCTGGGCTCATCCGGAAAAGCTTGAACAAATCATCCAAGTTAGCTCCCCATATGAAAATATAGATGAATGTGGCAAACCCTAAAGCCTAAAGCCTCTCCCAGATCATCATTTTTATGGGTGGCATATTGACCATCAATGAGATCATCCGCCTGTCGGCCTCAGGAGTTGGAAACCAAAGTCACCGATATGATGGAGCTGTCTCACGAGGTTCCAGAGAAGTGGAGTTTCATGAACAAAAAGGCCCGTGGCGGTCTCTGAAGTCCAAATTTGGAGCTTTTTGGAGTTTATGTAGGATGTACTGCTATAGTGTACAGATTATGTACAGTATGTGAGTATATGATAGTATATGTATATATCTAAATACATGGATATGTTATGATATATTATATATATGCAAGTAGTACCCGTGCGAGCCGGGGGCGGAGGTGTCAAAGATGAAAGAATGTGTGCAGGACCCCCTCCCCTGTGCGTTGATGAAACAAACTCTTGACATCTTTCTCTCGCATGACATCTCTTTTTCTTAGCAGTCTCTTGCTCTTGACATCTCTTTCTCTTGTCACCTCTTTTTTTGATGTCTCCTTCTCATGTCAGCTGTTTCTCTTGACATCTCTTTCTCTTGTCACCTCTTTAATCGAACATCTCTTTCTCTTGCCAGCTCTTCTCTAGGCATCTCTTTCTTCTTTTTCCCCACCTGCCAGGTGAGGGTCGTTAGATTTTATCAGAGCTGTTCTCCTCCTCCTCCGCCTCCTCCGCCTCCTCTGCCTCCTCCGCCTCCTCACCCGCCGCCTCCTCCTCGCAGTCCAGATCCCAGTGGGCACAGCCGGACCTCCACCGCGAGCTCCAGATCCCAGTGGGCACTGCTGGACCTCAACCGCGAGTTGCAGATCGCAGTGGGCACTGCCGGACCTCAACCGCGACTTCCAGGTCGCAGTGGGCACTGCCGGACCTCAACCGCGACTTCCAGATCGCAGTGGGCACTGCCGGACCTCAACGAGAAGAATGTGAGAAAAGATGTCAGACAGAATGTCAGAAGATATGCCAGATAGAATGTCAGAAAGAATGTCAGAAGATATGCCAGACAGAATGTCAGAAGATATGCCAGAAAGAATGTCAGAAGATATGTCAGATAGAATGTCAGAAGATATGCCAGATAGAATGCCATGAGATATGCCAGACGATATGCCAGATAGAATGTCAGATAGAATGCCAGAAGATTTGCCAGATAGAATGCCAGAAAATATGCCAGAAGATATGCCAGATAGATATGCCAGAAGATATGCCAGAAGATATGCCAGACAGAATGCCAGATAGAATGCCAAATAATATGCCAGAAGATATGCCAGATAGAATGTCAGATACAATGCCAGAAGATTTGCCAGATAGAATGCCAGAATCTTTGCCAGAAGATATGCCAGATAGATATGCCAGAAGATATGCCAGAAGATATGCCAGATAGAATGCCAGATAGAATGCCAGATAGAATGCCAGATAGAATGCCAGAAGATATGTCAGAATATATGCCAGAAGATATGCCAAATAGAATGCCAGAAGATATGTCAGATAGAATGCCAGAAGATATGCCAGATAGAATGCCAGAAGATTTGCCAGATGGAATGCCAGAAGATATGCCAGAAGATTTGCCAGAACATATGCCAGAAGATATGCCAGATAGAATGCCAAATAGAATGTCAGAAGATATGTCAGATAGAACGCTAGAAGATTTGCCAGTAAGAAAATGTATAAATGTCATGGTGGGGATCACACGAAGTAAAGTAATTTTAGTCATCGCCTGTTTCTGTCATCACTTTCTCTTGTCTCCCCTGGCTCTTAACATCTTTTCTTCTTGACATCCCATTCTCTTCGCATCTCTTTCTTTTGACATCTTCCTCTGCTTTGCTGCTTGCCACGCTGTTTCTTCTACACTTCTCTAGCCTACTCTACTCTTTTTTGCTTTCTCACGGCTTCCTGCCCCCACAAAATCACCACGATCGCTCCTTTTGGGACGCCATGTGAAAGCATCGCTCTCTTGTGCTACGCCGTCTGCAACGACGAGCATGGTCACTAATCGGCCGTTACGACTTCATTCAATCGATTCAGAATCCAATGCAATTCATCGATGGTTCGGCTTATGACCACAATTCGACTGCGTGGAGCAATCGCTGGATTGCAAAACACATTAACACCAGCGCACATACAGACTTTGAATTCATCTTGATGCAGCCACGCCAATACGAACTACAAGCACCGAGTTGCGAAAGAGCGTAGAACTACCTATGCAGATGCAACACGAGCAACGTTGACGCAGCCACTCCAATGCAGTGCAAGCAGGGAGTTGCAAAACCGAATAGAACCACGCAGGCAGCAGCAAACAACGAGCAACATTGATGCAGCCACTGCGATGCGAAGTGCAAGCAGTGAGCTGCAAACGACCATAGAACCGCGTACAATGAAAACCCATGAAAACCACCGTTCCAATGCTTTCTCTCCTCTCTCCTCTCTCCTCTTCTCTCCTCTCATCTCTTCTGTTCTGTTTCTCTCTCAAAGTTCCTTTGATAACTGTGTGGAAACTGTAAAAGTATGAACATACACAATATATATATATATATACACACATACATACATACATACACACATACACACATACATACATACATACATACATACATACATACATACATACATACTTACACATATGCGTACATGCATGAATATTATGAGATATAATGACATAGATATATCTGAATAAATTAATGAATAGATATATAAACATATCGATGCTTGGGCCCTTGGATTGAAACACATCCACTGTGACGAACGGCGGTTTGTTCAAACGAAGTGTAGAGGCTGTCTTCTCTGACACGGCACTTTTACAATCGATGTCTGAACATGTTTTTCCCACAAAACCACATGGTACCCGTGGGTAGACTGCAACTTTCACCAAGAGGTTTGATTCGGCAACCACCCCAGACCATCAGCACCTGTGGTAGCAATACTGCAGTGTCAGGGCAAAGTCGTGAAGAGAAAGACCGTGGTTGTCAAAAAGAAGGATCCAAAGTCCTGCCACTTTGACAGATGCGTCGTGTTGAGACTCGGTGGACCGCGTCCAGTGGTCCAGTGCGGTCGATTTTTTTGTGTCAAGGGGTGCAGCCATGCCCAGTCCAAATTAATTAAAATGTTCTAAATTTAGAACACTATTAGAACACAGTCAATTTGGATCATGAAGGAATTACCTAGCCACTCCAAGTTGATCATTCAACTTTCATCAACTTGATGATCAATCAGAAACAGTGCTAGTTGAGGTGTCATCTCAGTAGAGCAATGCCCCAAATTCCTTCTGGTTGATGTTTATACATGAGGTGATATTTGTCAAGGGCGCAGTACTGGGAACTGGGAACTCTTATTCTGGATCCATTGATCCATTGCGCAAAACGTGGAAAATCGCTGGCGTCCGAGGTCACCTTCCAACACGCTCCCAGGCGGCGCCCCCCGACACGCTAAGCGGCATGTTGCAACTACAGATTGATAAGAGGCATCTATAGGCATGATTTATGGCGATCATAAATATAGTTAGATATAGTTAGATATAGTTAGATGGGGTAATAGATTGTAACGAACAAACCTTTTTTGGCTGAATTCTCGCATTTCGGGCAACAGGCGTACTCCCTGGCTGCGTACAAAATGGGCCTTGGATTAAACTTTGCCTGCAAAGCGGAGGACCAAGGGGGTCACTTGGATATGACCCAGGAATGGGTTGGTGTAATAGTAAATTGGTCCATCTATCTATCGATCTGCCTGTCTGTGTCTGTCTGTCTGTCTGTCTATCTATGTAATGCAATGTAGTGTAATGTAATTAATGTTAATGTAATGTAGTGTAGTGTAGCGTAGTGTAATGCAATGTAATGTATGTATATTTGTATCTATGTATAATTGTATCTATGTATAGTTGTATCTATGTATCTATGTATCTATCTATCTAATCTAATCTAATCTAAATCTAATCTAAATCTAATCTAATCTAATCTATTCTAATCTAATGTAATCTATCTAATCTTATCTATTCTTAGTCAATCTTCTCTAATCTCATCTCAATCGAATCCAATCTAACCTAATGTAACCTAATCTAACCAAACCTGATCTAATCAACTCCAATATAATTTATCTATATTTTTTGAAGCCTCGAAGAATGCAATCATATGTAGTTGAGTATATGCATATGTATATATATATATACATGTACGTATATTTTTTTTTATACAATTACGTGATGTATATATATATATATTCTGGGTTTATATCATAAAATGGATGCATTGAGCATGATGAAACACGGATACCACCTACACATCCGTCTGTCCCCAGCCGCTGAGCAGTGCAAGGGTTCTGCCGGGGAAAACCCCAAAATCGATGAGTCCGAACAGTGCGAACCTCATTTCTACTGATTCTACTGTTATTTGATGGCTAGTGTTGGTGCTTTTTTATTACGCCATGTTCAGACAAAGCCAAAGATCAAAGGACGACACGAGCATTTCATGTGGCTTTGATTGGCAACGGATCCGGGGTGGAAAGGACCCTTGTGAGGAAATCTTTCCTTTTCATGTTCACTGCAAACTGTAATCATTGGCTGCGAGTCAACTTTATGTAACCCCAAGTTGCGGATGGTTTAATAAAGTGTAATACCAAGATATACCAAGACTAACCAGATGTGTAGTGCCTAAACACCACATTTCGACCCATACTTATTTCTAAGTGAGTTGGTTTACCTTGGGTCAAAGTGTTGGTTTACCTTGGTGGAACCATCAAGGAACCAAAAAGGTGAATGATTGCCACAAAGGGGGAACATCAGCTATATTGAACCAGTTTTATTCGGGGGAGCAACCCTGATTGACAGTGAAAGCAACTCTAGTTACCCAACAAGATTGCTCATGTTTAACCATCATGGTTTTCATCATGTTTTCATGATGTTTTCCATGGTTTTTGATCATTTCCCCGCTGTTTTTATCAAAAACTGTGGCTTCAAAACACCCCCTCTTTGGAGGATACCGTGGTCATCCCTGAAGCGCCACTCTCGGAGGCAGGGATTGGGATGGGATCCGTCCCAACCTCCCCCGTAGAAAGACGGGTTTTGTATTGAATCTATTCACATTAAATTAGTTAGCTAATACACAATACGAAGTCATTTTAGGGTCATTTTTTGGACGGTATTAATTTAGTATTGGGATGGGATTAGCTAACTGTGGAAATGTTACCCCAATACTATATACCCCGGATTGCCCCCACACACACTGGGGGATGACAACTACAAGTTTGAGAAAAGGAATGACATGACCAGCATGGAGGAATATGACCATTTTTTGATGGGGATATCCGGGATATCACCTAGTTGCCTTTTTTTGGATATTATCAGGGCCCAACTAAAAATCAGCAGTAAACGAATGCAACCTAGGGGGTAGAATGTAGAAAAGCAACAACAATTATGTTGGTGATATGGGTTATTTATATAAGTATAAACTATAAACAGTGGGCCTTCGATATGTGGATAAAATGGGATGGTACAACTAATCAACAACATATGATGTTTGAGTGTGTCTGAAGATCGGTCTACCGTCTACCCAAAATTCCAGCAGTTTATCATCACATTCCCTGCATGATAAATAAACTGTGGGATATAATGGAATATAGTGCGACCAACACTTTGATTTGGGTGTATCTGAAATTCCCATTTTTGGACAAGCCTGTTAACTTGTTAACCATCTACTTTTTGGGCACACCATTTTTCGTGATTCATACCCCTTTATGTACGCGGACAGACACACACACACACATATATATATACACATACATATTGATATAGATGTTAGGGTGTATTTTGTAGCAGCATGCAACAATGAATGTGGGTACAAAGCCTGGTTCAGCCATTTTCGAGTTTTAACCACAACAGCAAAGGGTATGGCACATAATCCTTGGAAGTGAACATACATTGGATTCAGAACACGTTCAATATGTTCCAGCAATCGTTCGATAAAGCAATGGCAATGACCAGTATCAGTCCTGACATTCTAAGTTGAGTGATGAGTGCATGCCTGCTGCAAGGTCAGAACACCGCGCGTGTATCAGTCCTTGGTTTGGGATCATTTATCCAGACGTCTGGCTTTTGTCTGAAACTAGGGTACCCCAAATCCTATAGTTTCTTATCATTTTCCATATGAACATCGTCATTTTAAGGTATACCATATTTTAAAGACCCAGATGTGGAGGAAAATAGCAACCCACTAATCACAGATGAAAGGGGATTGACTCTCGGCCAAACGGACGCACAAAGGCTACTGAATCATCCAATTGTTCGGGACCATGCGTTAAAAAACAGCAAAATGGGTGAGTGTTGTAGTGATCAAGTCTCAAAATATCGAGGTTCTACAATTCTGCTCGTGAGCGTTCCTGGTGATTATTATATATCGTAACTGTAACGTTGGCGGTGACATGTGCCCATTTCAGGTACATTCACTTTATGTATACTCCCCTATTTATAGCCAATCATCCAGTAGGAGCATTAAATTTTCCGAAGCCAACAAAATTGGGAGTTCCATGTCCTTTTTCGATACATTTTCCAACCTTTTCTTCGGGGAGTGGGTTCTCCGATGTCTGCTTCAGGATGAGGATGCTATGTCCAAGTGGGAGGACAATGGCAAGAGGCAACTGGGTCGCTTGGCCATGAAAGTTGGGCTGACCTGGTGAGCTATTTTGGAGCTATGGGGATTTTATATATGGGGATTTCTCATATTGGGCATATGATACTGATGATACTGAGATCATGGGAACATATTTGGGGGGGTACCATGGGGTACCCTACGTTCCGACAAAGCCACATGGCCATTTCACCAGAAAAGGCCTGGTACAAAGTCTTCATCTTTTTGTGGGATTGAATCATGAACATAGTGCGTGGGATGGTTGTTTGATGAGCTTTAGACTACTACTACTGTACGGTACTGTTTCATTTAGTTTGAGATTGATCACATTGATTAGCAAAGTCCCGAAACTCCAGTATGCTATATACCGCGTGTTTTGTGTTTCCATCCCTAAAGGACTCCATGTTGCTCATGGGGATGGCGTGCCCTGCCAAGGCTGTATCAGGACGACAGAAGAAGAAACCTTTTTGGAGTGGGGCCGCTCCGCAGGAAGAAATGACTTGGGGCTTGGGGCGGGTGAACATCATGAAGAGTTCAAAGCTGATTGCAACAGGTCTCCATGATGGTTATTTGCGTTCCTGGGATGATCCAAGGTTTATACGCCAAGCTAAAACTCATAGTTGAAACAAAGAACGGCAAACGTGGCTCGGCCGAGACTGCGGCAAATGGGTTTGGGGGAGCCCGGTGTGCGGTGGTGTAGAAGCCCTTGATGGACACCAACATCTAGGATGGATACCAAGAATTATGCAATTCAGAAATTCGGAAATCGACAGACGTAGGAAAATACAGTTTTTTTGTGTTTTTCCCCACCTGCCAGGTGAGGGTTGTTAGATTTTATCAGAGCTGTTCTCCTCCTCCTCCGCCTCCTCCTCCATCTCCTCCTCGTCCTCCTCCTCGCAGTCCAGATCCCAGTGGGCACAGCCGGACCTCCACCGCGAGCTCCAGATCCCAGTGGGCACTGCCGGACCTCCACCGCGAGCTCCAGATCCCAGTGGGCACTGCCGGACCTCAACCGCGACTTCCAGGTCGCAGTGGGCACTGCCGGACCTCAACCGCGACTTCCAGATCGCAGTGGGCACTGCCGGATCTCAACCGCGACTTCCAGATCGCAGTGGGCACTGCCGGACCTCAACCGCGAGCTCCAGATCCCAGTAGGCACTGCCGGACCTCAACGGCCAGAGAATGCCAGAAGATATGCCAGATGGAATGTCAGATAGAATGCCAGAAGATATGTCAGATAGAATGCCCGAAGATATGTCAGATAGAATGCCCGAAGATATGCCAGATAGAATGCCAGAAGATTTGCCAGATAGAATGCCAGAAGATATGCCAGAAGATATGCCAGAACATATGCCAGAAGATATGCCAGATAGAATGCCAGATAGAATGCCAGAAGATATGTCAGATAGAATGTCAGATACAATGTCAGATAGAATGCCAGAAGATATGCCAGATAGAATGCCAGAAGATTTGCCAGATAGAATGCCAGAAGATATGCCAGAAGATATGCCAGAAGATATGCCAGATAGAATGCCAGAAGATATGTCAGATAGAATGCCAGAAGATTTGCCAGATAGAATGCCAGAAGATATGCCAGAAGATATGCCAGAAGATTTGCCAGGAAGAAAATGTATAAATGCCATGGTGGGGATCATTCGAAGTGAAGTAATTTTTGTTTTTTTGGTGGGAGATCCATGTTGGTGTTCAGTGTAAGTCAGTTTGCAGCGGTTTTGGATGATCACATTCGCTTCGCTAACGGCTTCACCGCCGTTTTTTGTGTTTGCCAATCATTTTGTAAAGGATTTTCTATGATTTTCTTGTAGAATATGGGATGGTCAAGTACTCAAAAGTTGGCGTCAAGGATTCATAGGATTCTATTTGAAGGAAACTTTAGAACCCCAGAACAAGTTTGAGGGGAAAACGTTCCCTCTGATCCGCCGGGTAGATTATGTGTTGAGTCTGAATGTAGGATGCTGGGGAACGTAAACGTTGGCAATTTTTGGGATTTCAAATCGTCACAACTGCAGCATTTGGCCAGCTCGGGGCTTGAACCCTTTGTTTTCCTGCTTATTATGGGATATTCTGGGTGAATATGGTGAATTTCAATCATCCACTTACAGTACATGGTGCATCCTACATCATCCTACATATCTCGGCAGTTGTCAAGTTTTGGCAGGAACAAACCGCCACGTCATCCCTTCCCCGTTTTAGATAAACGTCAAACAGAATCTTTGGTTTAGTCTTCAAACTGTGATTTGGGGTCACATTTAAGGTGAGTTCCTTTTCAGCGGGATGAGGTTACAGTATGTAATATAGTAATACGCATAAACATTTGTCCGTTTTTATGCTATATGTATGGTATATGGTTTGCAGTAGCCAACTTTTGCTTTAATATTTGTTTCTCAACTAAATTCACCGCCATCTGATTTCTTCCTTAGTTTTCCAGATTTCACGACGTCAGGCACTGTCAAGCTGCCAGACAACAAGACCTACGACCTTGACGAAGAGCCCAAGGATGTTGATGTCGAAGGCCCCTGGATCAGCAGAAGTCGAGGAGAAGCCCAAAATGGGGTCCACATGGGTCAGGAATTGGATCCGACCATTTTGGTATCATTTTGTCAGGTTACTTTCTTTCATGCGAACGGGTCATGTATGTATAATATTGTATAATTATGTATATATATGTATATATACATATATATATATACATATACATATATATATATACATATATATGTATGTATATATATACATGTATATATATGTAAATATATATATATGTATGTATGTATATATATATACATGTATATGTATATATATATGTATATATATATATGTATATACATGTATATGGATATATATATATATATGTATATATATATATGTATATATATATATGTATATATATGTATATATATATATATTATATATGTATATTTATTTATATATATATATATGTATACATATGTATATATATATATAGTATATATATAGGTGTATATATATATATGTATATATATATATATATGTATATATATGTATATATATATATGTATATATATGTATATATATATATGTATATATATATGTATATGTATGCGTATATATATACATACATACATACATACATACATACCTATATATGAACCCGGTGCCCGGACTCCCACCCCCTCTATGGTATGGTCCCCCACCCCCCCTATCCCGCACGTCCAGTGGCCAGGCTCCTTCCCTATTGCCTCTTTACATCCATACACTCTCCCCCGCGGGGCTACTATTCTATCCTGCACTATGTGAGTGAGGGCACAACACCAAGGCAGCGAGGACCCTAGGCAGCGAGGACCCTCAGCTGTTTCTTACTCACTGCAAAAAAGCATGTCAATCTGGTGAGACGCTCTAGCACCATGCCTACGGCAGGCAAAGCTACACCAACACACGTGACCCAAAGTAGCGCACCAACATGGTTACTGTATACTACATACTTCCCTGTATACTATACACTACCGTAGAACTACATTTGACCTTAAACAGTACATACTGTTCACCTATACAACATCATATCCCGAAATTTATTCCATATACTCTATATCCTTCTATACACTATATAAACCCTATATGCTGCACGTACTCTCTATATACTCTGTGCACAGTGCACACCCTATATATATACACTGTACGTACCCTATCTATACTCTCTATATATCCTACACGTACTGTATATATATATATATGTATATATATATATGTATATGTATGTATGTATATATATATATGTATATGTATGTATGTATATATATATATTTATATATGTATATAATATATATATATATAAATACATGTATTATATATATATGTATATATTATTATTATTGTTATTATTATTACGATAATAATAATAGTAATAATAATAGTAATAATAATAATGATAATGATAATAATGATAATAATATTAATATATGTATATATAAACATATTATCCGATTTATCCATATGTATGGTATATACCATCCCCCCCAACCCCCCATCCCCCCCACCACGGCGAAGCTACAGCGACACAAGTAGCGCACTAACATGGTTGCTATATACGACATACTACCCTGTATACTACACACTACCGTAGAAGTACTTTTGACCCTAAATACTACACACAGTTCTATATACTATATATTCTCCATGTGACACCCCCGCCAGGCCACAGGGGGGGACCATTGGGGGGGGGGGCCTGGCTCATATACATACATAACATTACATTACATTGCATTACATTACATTACATTACATCACATTACATTACATTAATACATACATACATTACGTTACATTACATTACATTACATTACATTACATTACATTAATACATACATACATACATTACGTTACATTACATTACATGACATGACATGACATGACATGACATTACATACATACATACATACATACATACATTACATACATACCATAACATAACATAGCATAACATAACATAACATAACATACATAACATACATACCATACCGTACCGTACCGTACCGTACCGTACCGTACCGTACCGTACCGTACCATACCATACCATACCATACCATACCATACATAACATACATACCATACATACTATACATACCATACATACATACATACATACCATACCATACCATACCATACCATACCATACCATACATACCATACCATACCATACCATACCATACCATACCATACCATACCATACCATACCATACCATACATACCATACCATACCATACCATACCATACCATACCATACCATACCATACCATACCATACCATACCATACCATACCATACATACATACAGGCTTTTGGGCTGGAACTCTTGAAAACTAACACAGAACCCATCTATTTGGCCATTCCCAGGGCTAATATCGACGATGATCCTTCAACTGAAGGGACCGGCGCCTGAAGGCTGGGTCATAGATGCCTTCAACGAAGAAAGCCGAATGAAGATCGGCAACCTCAGCAAGGGCCGGCAGACGCTTGGACGAAAGATCCCAAGACCATCTCAATAGTTGGTGAAAAAAACTTAAGACCCAGAAAACACCGGAGATGTGCAACATGATGTCGTGGAAAAAACAACGATGAAAATCTTTGGGCCCCAAAAACTTCAGCTCACCGACTTGATCCCTGAGGAGAATGCTGCTAAGTGCGGCATGAACCTGAGTTGGGCAGTGGAATCCATTGGAACAATCGGATTGGCAGTTAAGGATTCGAATGTAAACTGGAAAACGATGGTAATCTTGGAAATATTGGGCCCCATTTTGGAAGAATTCGGAAGTGCAGTTGGTCACATCCCCATTGATGCTAGTGGTCCTTAGATGTACCTCAGTTCAGTTCCCGATTCTTTACGTACCGGCCGACCGGTGATTGTTGGAAATATCGATTCCCAATCTTATCCAGATATTCCCAGAAACGGTTTGCATCCCCGGCATTGTTCGCAATATCTTCATGTTGACATTCCTACAATGGTTCAAATTTAAGACCTCTTGTGAAGCCACAGACTTTGACCCTTTCTATTCTAAAACCAATCTCAAATGCAATTTCTTTGGTCAAAATACAATTTCAGTGCTGCACTTAATTCCCATGCTGAACGCATACCAGACAGTTCACCTTGAAAAACTCGACTCGTTCCACCCATCTCAGGCCCAATCGCAACTTGCCGTGGCAACTTCGCTTTATGACTCAGACATCCTCATGGCGGCCGTCCTAGGCGCAGCTGGGAATCTCACCTTGCGATGGAAAGTCCACATAGAAAAATCACTCATTTCATATATTTTCACATATCATATATTATATATATACACACACACTATATATAATATATATAATACACACACACTATATATATATATAAGTATTATACTATAGTTTTCCATAATTTCCCCGATGAAAATGGCGATTTGCCATTGGTCCTGCCCAAAGATCCACCAGAAACTGGCCGTTGATATGTAAAAATGGGCTGGCAAAACTCCTGGTCTTTAACGGGGATTAATGATTGGGTTTTTCCTCTCTCTCTCTCTCTTTCCACTTTACTGCTTTACTGCTTTTCTGTTTTTTTTTTGCTTTTGCTTCTTTGCTTCTTTTTGCTGTTCTGCTTATGTGCTTCTTTTTACTTTTCTACTTCTCTGCTCTTCCACTTTTGTGCTTCTCTGCTTTTTGGCTTCTTTGCTTCTCTATGTTTTGTAGTTTCTGCTTTTTGGCTTCTTTGCTTCTCTGCTCTTTTTAATTTTGTTTAGCTTCGCTTCGCTTTATTTTTTGATTTTCTGCTTTCTCTGCTTTTTCGCTTTTCTGCTTGCCTCGCTGTTCCTCTGCTTTGTTACAAGTCCGACTACTAATTACAACAAGAACAACAAGAACAAAAACTCGCTGTTCCTCTGCTTTGTTATAAGAACAACAAGAACATCAGACTAACAAGAACAAAAGTAACCAGAGCATCGCTTCGTGTGGTTCTCAGGGATGTTCCAAGCCACTCATTTCTCCAAGGTGAGTTCAGTGCAGTGTCCAGCGGCGTCCAGCGCAATCTACAATCGGCGCTCATTTTTCCAATCCGTCCTGCCAAAAAAAACCACAAGAGAACAACACCTTGACACTGGCGTGGGTTTTCATCATTGGGCTTGTGGATTTGGAATATTTTGGAATCAGGAATGAGCACACGATTACTTGTATTACTTGTATTTGACAGTGATTTTTGCTTCTTTAACAATAATTATTGTTATCACCACGATCAAGTCAACATTCAAACAAAACTTTGCAACGTATCAACATCTGCCTTCAAAACTATCATATTTTCTTTGGCCCTGCTTTGCCTTTCCTCAGCCGCCGTTCTTCGTTTTGAAGAGTTGGCCCAACTTCTGCAACAACGGCAACAAGTTACATGGACCCTTGTGGCCAACAGTCTTAAAGTCGTCAGGAACGTTATTACACCCCCCCACCCACCCCCTTGAGCTGCTCAAACAAGGAGCACGCAGCAGTTATATGGAAAACCAGCAGCCTGCCTCGAGGCGTTGGCCCCAATAACAACAAACAACAAGCCACGGGACCCACGGGACCCACGACCCACAACTGACAAACACCGACCAACAACCAAAACCCAACAATAGTTTGTAAATACCATGCAAACTGAAAGATTGCAAGTCCAAACTGTTGCACGGAGTATGCAAAGAAGAAGGTTCCAGCTCCCAAATGTTCCAACTCCCAAATGCTGCATAGCATGGAAAACACGCACTCACAAACCCAAATGAACAACACTCCTTAAACTACTAGAAAAGCAACCCCCAAACAATTTCCTACCTTTATAATCGCATATCATTCAAGATGGGAAGAGATATCAATCATAACCCAACCAATTCTTCGATTTCCCAATCTCGCACCCGTTTTTCCTGGTTTCTCCCATGCTTCGCTCCGTTGACCCGAACCGGCGAGGTCTTCAAGCCAAAGGCTCTGTGGGTCTTATCACGCCCGATGTCCCCGACGAGTACGTCCTTTTGGCACGTTGCATCGTTGCACCTCGGCGGGTCCTCGCCTGGCTTACCCTGGAGAGTGACGGATAGTGGGATTCGTAGCCGTTGTGAACATGGTAACCCTGGTAACCCATGGCACATGCAAAATGAAGTCCATTGAACTCCACTTTTTCGCCTGGCAAATCACTCATCCGCCCAATAAAATCAACATCACTTGTAATTTTGTGGAATTCGCGCTAAAAGATCTGTAAACTGAGTGAAAAACATGCTAGGAACTCGTCAACTCCATGTTCCACAGGTCAGATTTGTTTGGAACCCCGCGGCCCGGCAGTTAGGTCTTCCACGGAATGTTGGGCGATGTGCTGAAAGATAACTTCGTCCGTTTCATGGTGACGGGCCAACAGGACTCCAGTCCTCGACTTGGCGATTTCACCGAGCCTTAGGGAGTTCCAGAGCGAACTTTGGGGATATTTTTCCTGAAAAACCTTGAGATCTCCAAAAACGGTTCCTGATTCTGTATTCGTCTGATATTCCCCAAATTACGTAGTTGAAGAGAGAATCAACAGGAATGGATGATATGGATGGATGATCATTTCCGTCATTTCCCATTTTTTTGCACGGACCAATCTGTGCATGTGTGGTAAATCCTCAGTTCGGCTGGTTAAGCCCCCATTTTAAGGCAGGTCAATTCCGATCGTGTGATCAGTTGCGAAGTCTCTAAGTTCGTTTTATTTCCCCAGATAGCTGGCAAGCTATAGGTGTTCTTACTTCTCAAAGGTGGGGTCTTCGGTGGCGAACTTTTGGCCAAGGTGCTGTGCAGGGTGCTGTGCAGGGTGCTGTACAGATTGCGGTGGCGAAGTCTGGCAAGGTGCTGTGCAGGGTGCTGTGCAGGGTGCTGTGCAGGGTGCTGTCCAGACTGCGGTGGCGAAGTCTGGCAAAGGTGCTGTGCAGGGTGCTGTGCAGGGTGCTGTACAGATTGCGGTGGCGAAGTCTGGCAAGGTGCTGTGCAGGGTGCTGTGCAGGGTGCTGTGCAGGGTGCTGTGCAGGGTGCTGTCCAGACTGCGGTGGCGAAGTCTGGCAAAGGTGCTGTGCAGGGTGCTGTGCAGGGTGCTGTGGAGGGTGCTGTGCAGGGTGCTGTGCAAGGTGTTGTCCAGACTGCGGTGGCGAAGTCTGGCAAAGGTGCTGTGCAGGGTGCTCTGCAGGGTGCTGTCCAGACTGCGGTGGCGAAGTCTGGCAAAGGTGCTGTGCAGGGTGCTGTCCAGACTGCGGTGGCGAAGTCTGGCAAAGGTGCTGTGCAGGGTGCTGTGCAGGGTAGACTGCGGTGGCGAAGTCTGGCAAAGGTGCTGTGCAAGGTGCTGTGCAGGGTGCTGTGCAGGGTGCTGTGCAGGGTGCTGTGCAGGGTGCTGTGCAGGGTGCTGTGGAGGGTGCTGTGCAGGGTGCTGTGCAGGGTGGGGCTGTGCAGGGTGCTCTGCTTGGTGTTGTCCAGAGTGCGGTGGCGAAGTCTGGCAAAGGTGCTGTGCAGGGTGCTGTGCAGGGTGCTGTACTAGTGCGGTGGCAAGTCTGGCAAAGGTGCTGTGCAGGGTGCTGTGCAGGGTGCTGTCCAGACTGCGGTGGCGAAGTCTGGCAAAAGGTGCTGTGCAGGGTGCTGTGCAGGGTGCTGTGCAGGGTGCTGTGCAAGGGGGCTGTGCAGGGTGCTGTGCAGGGGGCTGTGCAGGGTGCTGTGCAGGGTGTTGTCCAGACTGCGGTGGCGAAGTCTGGCAAAGGGTGCTGTGCAGGGTGCTGTGCAAGGTGCTGTGCAGGGTGCTGTGCAGGGTGCTGTCCAGACTGCAGTGGCGAAGTCTGGCAAAAGTGCTGTGCAGGGTGCTGTGCAGGGTGCTGTGCAGGGTGCTGTGCAGGGTGCTGTGCAGACTGCGGTGGCGAAGTCTGGCAAAGGTGCTGTGCAGGGTGCTGTGCAGGGTGCTATCCAGACTGCGGTGGCGAAGTCTCGCAAAGGTGCTGTGCAGGGTGCTGTGAAGGGTGCTGTGAGAGGTGCTGTGCAGGGTGCTGTGCAGGGTGCTGTGCAGCGTGCTGCGCTTTGGTTCCCACGTTGGCAACCATCAGTTCCAACCTTTAGTTGTTGCTCCTGAAAGGATAATAACCTTATTTTCAACAGCAAAAAATTTGCCTTGTCATTAAGGCAAATTAAACAACTGGCAACCAAACTCATTTTTAATTGTTTCTGTTTGTGAGTTTTTCTAAGAGTGAAACCAAACAGAAACTCTGGCATCTCACGGAAAATCACTTTCAATTTTTCACTCTACGTATTTTCGGTTCAAGTGGTGGGTGGTGGGAATCTTAAATTGTTGACCCCTCAAAAGGTTTAGCTGGGGGGTCGTGCAATGGAACTTGGAGAGGTTGACGAGGCGACAGGTGACATGATCGAGCATGTTGAAGGTTTGGACTTTGGAGACTTCTCAGAATTTTTTGGACAATCTGAAGCGGCATTGGGCGCATCGGCAAGTCCAAATGATGTCGTGCCTTCACCGTCAGAAGCCTTGGAACCACCTGAGAGTTCTACACAGAGAGTTGACTTTCCAGATGGAACAAATTTCAACTTTTCAAATCTTCTTTCAAATGCCATGCGAAATACTGCTGCCAGTTCTTTCGTACTGCCCTGGGAGACGGATGAGTGGTCTTGGTTGTTTAACCCTGACAGTGACATCATGGACACCTTACTTCCTGCGTTCGAGCCTAAGCTTAAAGCTGTGAAACTGTCACATGTGGATGATGAACCAGTTGCAAAGGGTGACAGTTCTGGAAAAACACAAGCGCTTGGGGGCAAACAGATTTTTCAGGTTGCAGTTTCACGTAGGCATGACTTGATGTGGACAGAGAAAAGGGAAGCAGAATTGCAGCGTGCCCTGAAGAAGTGGTACGCAATAGTGTGCAATTGGCCTGACAGTTGGGCGTGCAAACAAGAAGTACTGGCCTGTGACACGTCCTCAGAGGGTCTGGAACTGCTTGGAGATTACTTGACAGGTAAGTCGCCTGCCACTTTAGTCAAACGTGCCAACAGTCCAACAGTTTGATTTTCATGCAGAACATGTTGCAGCAGTTGGGTTACTTTTGGCCTTTGTCGGAACCAGATTTTTACAGGTTTCTGAAGACGTTGAAAAGCGCCGGTCATTCAACTAGAAGTCTCAAGTCACTTCTGGAGGCAGTCACGTTCAGCAGGTATTCATTTCACCTTCCAGAGTTGCATGAGTTGACAGTCAGCCGTCGGTGCCTTGGAGCAGTTGTGGATGAGTTGCCAGGCAAAGTGAAACAGGCAGAACCCCTTACAGTGGCCGATGTCAAGCGTTTGCACTGGGTTTTAGAACACGGTGAAGTTTGGGACAAGGTTTTCTGTGGTTCAGCTTTGTTTTGCATATATTCAAGAGCCCGCTGGAGTGACTTCATCCACGGAAGCTGCTTACGGCTAGACACCAAGACGGATGGACAGATAGTGTATGCCGACATGGAAGTGCAGATTCATAAAACCATGCGTGCCTCTGCAAACAGATTCAAGTTTTTGGATTTGGTAGCATCTGGAATTGGAATGGCTGGACATAACTGGATTGAGCACTGGCTTGAAGCTTTGAGATACCTTGGGATGGACCCACTAAATGGAGTGGTTGGTTTGTCGCTCATGCCAGCCCCTGGAGACGATGGGCAGATGCTGCAACGTTCCTTGGAAAGCGATGAGGCCAGCAAGTGGCTTCGACTCTTACTTGGAGAAGAAATCCGTAGGAAAGACAGCAAGAGACAAATCTCATCGCACTCCCTTAAAGCAACACTCCTCTCGATGGCAGCCAAGAGGGGACTCAGACATGAAGACAGGCTGGCAATGGGACACCATATCCACCCCTTCAGGATGGCAGATGTCTATGCCAGGGAGGCTCAAGCAAGGTGCATCAGGTTGATAGACAGATTGATGGTCGAGATCAAAACTGGGTATTTTGACCCGGATGCAAGTCGCGCTGGACGGTTTCACAAAGAATTCTTGCCAGATGAATCAGAGGATTTGGGTGCAGAACACTTTTCGGACGATGCCACCGTGAGACACGATGTGGCAGTTGAAGTAGTCAAGAAGTTAGATGAGGCCGAGAAGGTCGTTCTGTCTCCAGAACAACAATTGGAGGAAGGGCACGTAACGAGCTCATCCTCTGAGAGTGAATCGGAGAGTGTGGAGCTAGCCGCACCTATGAGAGTGTTTCATCCACCGGAGGCACCAGAAGGATTCAAGTTTGTGCAAAACAAACGCACAAAGACGTTGCACTTGGTTGACCATAGGTACCCGAGTGGAACGTGTTGTGGCAGACTCCTTGACAGCAATTACATGACGCCAACACAGCTTAGATATGACTCGGCGACTTGTCATGTGTGCAAGAGGCACAGGATGTGACAGGGTTGCATGTCATTGAGCCAACAGCTGACAGCTGGGTGGAAAAAGCTGAAGGCCTTGCGAGACAACACATCAGTTGAGGTGGTAAATCCACTCATGAACCCAGATGTGGTTGTGGCATGTTGCTGAAAGAGCCTTGTTGGATAGATTTATTTTGAAGTTAACCTGACACGATCGGGTGGTATTTCCAACGATTGTCAAAGACACCCTTTTAAAATATAAACACCGGTTGGCATGTCGGCTCCAAGAAGTGAGTGGTTCAACCATCACACCGAAGCTGGAGAGACGATACCACCGTGAGAAACGAAACTGAAACTCAAACAGAAACATGAAACGAAATCCAGTGTGTAACAGGCGTCTAAGGTTTGTCAACGCATTTGCACCTTTTTGTTCAGTTTTTTCACTCTGTTCCATACTGTCTTTGACCCTGAGAGTTTAAGCCATGACACTCATTGACTCGAAGGCAGCCTTTAGGCAAAGGTGCGTGGAGCTGTCAACAGCTACAACTTTATTGTTCGACTTGTTGGCTGCTCAGAACATTAGTTCTTTCTCTGAACTGGCATTTGCGTGTGGCACTCCAAATCGGGCGCCTACAGATGAGGAGTTCAAAACATTGTCAGATTCAGTGTTAGGAGGCGGAGGCGGTGCAACGGCAGGTCAGAGCAGCTTGCTAAGACGTCTGCACTTTGAGTCAGCAACTTTGGTGTTGTCACATTTGAAGACATCAGTGAACAGTGAAACCATTGATGGAGTCAGAAAACTGCCTTTTGCAGAAAAGCAGGCAAGGTATGCCAAGGTGAAGACAGCAATTCAAGGCTTTTTGATTCAAGGCGAGACTGAACCATCGCATGCGTTAGTTGACAAATGCCAGATGATGTTTGACACTAATTCTGTGGTTTGGCTGGCACCCTCAGTTTGCACAAAGCGTGAACTTGAGATCCAGGCTGCTCCAAAGGATAACCAACAGGTTCTCAAAATCGAATCGCAGACACTCAAGGTGAGCACAGAAGGCGCGATGCTTGGAGATGCAGATCACAGTTCAGAAATCAAACTACAATGGTGCTGGCAACGTAGGGGTGTAGCTCTGGAGATGTGTGAGCTTTTGTCTTGGCCGATTTCACAAAAGTGGCTCACATCCATGTTTGCAGTGTATGCTTCAGATCCACCTACAAATTTCAGCCGGGTGACGTTGTCCCAGTTGATTTCTGCAGACAAAGCGTTGTGGACCATTTTGGCAAGGGAGATCGAAACAGTGAAACCAGATGCCACGGGGAACAGACTCCTGGATGCAGCAGTTGAAAAACTCATGTGTGACCCAAGGGTCACAATGCACATGCTGTCTATGCCTCATAAGGCACCAGCTTCGTCCTCAGTGGTTTCAGACAAGTCTTCGATAGGAGCACCAACCAGCAACGCAAACCAGACTGGGATCAGACCAAAAAAGAAGGCGCGTCCTGGTAAGCGCAACAGAGCAACACCGCCACCGCCAGAAGAACTCAAGTCATGTTACCAGACAACAACAGACGGCAAGCCAATTTGTTGGGCTTACAACTTGAGCAACGGATGCAGTCTGGCTACAACGGGGCAACCACCAAGATGTACCAAAGGGGTCCACATGTGCTCCTTTTGCAGGCGTGTGGGGCACTCTTTTCAGACGTGCAAGGCAGCACCGGGGAAGCAAAGCAGCCACTGACTCAAGACCCTGGAAAGTCAAGAATCACCTGCCGCAGCAGCAGATGCAACAGATTTGAATTCAATAGACGAGCACAGTTCAGGTGAAAATCACACTGAAAATGATGCTCTTGGTATCACAGAAGAGGAGCAGCATACAGAGAAGGCTACTCGGAAACAACTGTTTGAAAACATGTTGGTGCTGGAAGTCTTTGCAGGTTCCTCGAATCTCACCATTGAGATCAGAAGAGCTAATCTCAGGGGGGTGGCAGTGGATAAGACGGTTGGAAGGGCCAAAGGTCCAATCACAGTCCTGGATTTGACGGTGGATGAAGACGTGCGATTTTTGGCAGAATTTATTCGACAAGAGGCTGACAACATTTGTTTAATACACTTTGCGCAACCTTGCGGCACTTGTTCAGCGGCAAGGAAAAGGCGTTTGGCACCTGCAGTACTGGACAAACTGGCACAGGAAGGAATTACTCCACCGCAAGTGCTACGATCAGAAGCCTTTCCAATGGGATTACCAAACTTGCGTGGACTCGATGCACTGAAGGTTGAACTTGCAAACAAATTGTATTGGGCCACCAACAAACTGGTGAAGCTGGCGCTTTCACTCAACATTAGGGTTTCCATTGAAAACCCTACCAACAGCCTTTTTTGGAAGACCGACCTGATGGTGGACCTATTACAATATTGTCCAGGCTGTATGAACAACCTCCATAGCTGCATGATGGGCGGCGAGCGCGACAAACAGACAGCGTGGTGGTGCAATGATGATTTCTTCAATTCATTCAATTTACCACGCACAAGGGATCACACGCACAAACCATGGTCCCCCTCCATCACGGCAGATGGAGTCTATTACCCGACCAAAGAGGAAGCAGAGTACCCGCCTTTACTCTGCAAGAGGGTCGCTGCATTAATAGTTGAAGATTTAAAAACACGTGGTTTGGTGCGTACAGAGACTTTTCTTGAACAAATCAAGACAAACCGCAACACAGCGGTTAATTCAGTGGCAATGGGCATATTGCCAAGAGGACAGAAATTACGTCCACTGGTTAGTGAATTCAGTGGCTATGCCCAATTTGCCATACACCCTGATTTCAACGCCGACAAGATCGTCGACAAACAACTGAAAGGAGCAAGGATAACGACAAGGAAACTTTTGAAGTGGGGTGATTTGCGTGTTTCCCTTTCAAATAATGTTTCTTTTGAATTTCTGGGCGACGACATCAACAATTTGGTGGACACGACGACGCTGGAATTAATAACAATTGGAATACCAAGAGAACCATGGGATTTTGTAAAGGAAGCTGCAACAGTTGGGCATCCCAGGTTCTTGCCATACTGCGGAATGCCACAATTGGATGAACTATTGTCAGCAAACCTGGACTGGGAAAGGACCGGGATTCTGGAACAAAATTTTTCAACAAGTGGCTCCAACGGGCGCAAGACTTGGCAGAAGATGAGCGCAAATTACAGGCAAGCTTGAGCGACCACGTTAGGCATGTACTGAAGGGGAAACGGCTCCTTTTATTCAGGGACCTTCTGTTGGAATTGGACTATCCCGACAAGAGTCTTTTTGATGATATAATTGGTGGGTTCAAGCTGTCAGATTGGATGAGGGATTCAAGGGTTTTTACAAGCCTACCTAGGCCACCAAAACTTACCTTGGAAGCCTTGCTGAAGTCATCAACAGATTTGCAACATGCAGTACTGAAACAAGTCGCGGATCCAGACGATGCGGCCTTACATGCAGCGGCTTGGGAAGAAACCCAACTGGAACACGAGCGTGGCTGGATCTGGGAGGACACCAGTGGGTCCTGGGTCCTTAAAGGACAAAATCATTGCCCATCGTTTTGGTATTCGTCAGGGCGACAAAGTCCGCGTCATTGACAACTTCAAGCAGTGTGGTTTGAACGATGCTTGCGGCTTACCTGAGAAATTTGTATTGCACGGCATCGATTACATTGCTGCCACGCTTATCAGAGCGATGGCCCAAGGCGTGTGGCTGCCGAACCTTGAGATTTGCGGGAAGACCTTTGATTTGAAATCCGCATACAAGCAATACCCGATCCACCAGACAGACAGAGAACATTTACGGATCGCGATCCAAGATCCTGGGGCAAAGAAACCCAGGTTGTTCGGGCTCAATGCATTGCCCTTTGGGGCGACAGGTAGCGTGGCTGGATTTCTTCGCGTGAGTGCGGCTTTATTCTTCATTTTGACGACTGGCCTCAAGATTTGGTGCAGTGCTTTCTTTGATGATTTCCCAACATTGGCCACTAATGCCTTGGCCGGCAACACGGAGAAGAGTGTTGGACTTTTGTTCGACCTGCTGGGAGTGGAGTACGCTCGAACCGGGAAGAAGTGCCAACCATTTGGAGAAGAGATGCGTGCCTTGGGCCTAATTTTTGATTTGCGACAATTTGGGCAAGGAAAGATATTCATCAAACACACGCCTGAGAGGCGCCAGGAGTTATTGGGACGTTTGGCTGAGATTCTTGAGAAAGGTACTTTAACTCCGAAGGAGGCGGAATCACTCAAAGGGAGGATTCAATGGTACGAATCTTATCTGTTTGGACGGGTGGCAAATTTGGCAATTCACCGTGTAGGGAAGCGATCGTTGGCCCAGCCTGCTTTGCGCAGCACCAAACTTGATGCTGAACTCAAGGCAGCCCTCTTGTTCTTAAAGGACCGCATAAACACAGGGTCTCCCTTGGAACTCACTGCTGCAACAGAGCGAACTTTGCTGGTTTTCACGGACGGGGCTTTTGAAGCAGAACAAGAGCTAGCAACTGTGGGTGGCATTCTATGTGATGATACTGGGAAACCACTTAGGTTTTTTAGCGAGCGCGTTCCAAAGTTGATGCTGCAAGCTTTGATGGAAGAAGCCCAAAATCCAATTTATTTGATTGAACTTTTGGCCGCCTACCTTGCAGTGTTCCTATGGGGAGGTCTGCACTCCTCGAGATATGTGGTGGCTTACATTGACAACGAGGCGAGCCGCCTTGCCTTGATAAAGGCCTATTCGTCCACCAAGCTTGGAAACGCAATGGTAAGAATGTTTGTCAACCTTGAAGACAACTCTCAATGGAAAATTTGGTTTGGGAGAGTTGGATCGCACTCGAATCCATCGGATGACCCCAGGCGCTTACATGTTGAAGACATTTTGCAGCGTGGGGCTGTCCAAGACTCAGTTGCTTGGGATGTGGTCTTAATGTCGTTTGAAGATACAGTGCACGAGCTTGGAAGGGGGTGAATGCGGGTGCAGTATCCGATTCCACCTTTGGCTTGGCAGTGCGACATGTGAGACCACCCCTTTGCGCAGCAAAAAAGTGTGCTGACCGAGTGGAAGCTCAAGTGACTCCTGCGTATCCAACTTTTATTTTTGAAATTTTTGTTTGCCGAAGCGGTCAGAATATATGTCCTTCTATGTCAGAAGATATGCCAAAAAAATTGTTTGAGTATACTTACTCTCGTTTGGTTGCAGTTGGTTTTGCTTAGGAAATAAGTTGTTGCTCCTGAAAGGATAATAACCTTATTTTCAACAGCAAAAAATTTGCCTTGTCATTAAGGCAAATTAAACAACTGGCAACCAAACTCATTTTTAATTGTTTCTGTTTGTGAGTTTTTCTAAGAGTGAAACCAAACAGAAACTCTGGCATCTCACGGAAAATCACTTTCAATTTTTCACTCTACGTATTTTCGGTTCAAGTGGTGGGTGGTGGGAATCTTAAATTGTTGACCCCTCAAAAGGTTTACCCCCCCACCAACACCCTCTTTTGAGGGGACCGAATCTTTTCCATGTTGCGAGCAGCGCGTTGTGCCCCAACAGATCCTTTGAGGATCTTGCTCCAACACCTGTCAAGTTTAACATTTTTCTCTCTGCCTCACCCATAGCCGTGAATGCGGGTGCAGTATCCGATTCCACCTTTGGCTTGGCAGTGCGACATGTGAGACCACCCCTTTGCGCAGCAAAAAAGTGTGCTGACCGAGTGGAAGCTCAAGTGACTCCTGCGTATCCAACTTTTATTTTTGAAATTTTTGTTTGCCGAAGCGGTCAGAATATATGTCCTTCTATGTCAGAAGATATGCCAAAAAAAATATTTGAGTATACTTACTCTCGTTTGGTTGCAGTTGGTTTTGCTTAGGAAATAAGGAACTGGAAGTTCTTTGCAATGGTAACCTATGGTTCCCAGGTTGGGAAGCATGAATTCCAACCTCTGGTAACCGGCAGTTGCTTGCAATGGTAACCTCTGGTTGCCAGGTTGGGAACCATGACTTCTAACCTGTGGGAACCGGCAGTTCCTTGCAATGGTAACCTTGGGTTCCCACGTTGGCAACCGTGAGTTCCAACCTTTGGGAACTGGCAGTTCCTTGCCATGAACCAAACGCAAACATTCCGGTACCGGTCCATTAGCAAAACAAAGCGTTCTGTACCGGTCCATTAAGCAAAACCATAAAATTGTAAAGAAACTGTTTTCATATCATTTTAACATGCACCTTTTTGGTGCAAAAACATTTTTATGCCGGCCCAACAGCCAAACGCAAACATTCCGCTACCGGTCCATTAAGCAAAACAAAAGGTTCTGTTACCGGCTCAGTAGGCAAAACAAAACAACATTAAGAACCATGAGTTCTAACTTTTTGGAATCAACAGATCCTTCCACTGGTAACGTATGCTTTTTCAGGTTTGGAACCATGAGTTTCAAGCTTTCGCAACCGGCAATTCCTTACAATGATAGTTGCTTAGCTTCGAAAGCATAAATTCTAACTTCTGGGAACCGGCAATTCCTTGCAATGGTAACCTCTGGTTCCCAGGTTGGGAACCGTAAGTTTCAAGGTCTGGGAACCGGCAGTTCCTTGCCATGGTAACCTTTGGGACCATCAGTCCCAACCTTTAGGAAACGGAAGTTCTTTGCAATGGTAACCTATGGTTACCAGGTTGGGAAGCATGAGTTCCAACCTCTGGTAACCGGCAGTTCCTTGCAATGGTAACCTGTGGTTCCCACGTTGGCAACCGTGAGTTCCAACCTTTGGAAACCGGCAGTTCCTGGCCATGAACCAAACGCAAACATTCCGGTACCGGTCCATTAAGCAAAACAAAGCGTTCTGTACCGGTCCATGAAGCAAAACCATAAAGTTGTAAAGCAACTGTTTTCATATCATTTTGACATGCATCTTTTTTTCGTGCAAATACATTTTTATTCCGGCCCAACAGCCAAATGCAAACATTCCGCTACCGGTCCATTAAGCAAAACAAAAGGTTCTGTTGCCGGCTCAGTAAACAAAACAACATTAAGAACCATGAGTTCTAACTTTTTTCAATCAACAGATCTTTCCACTGGTAACGTTACTTTTTCAGGCTTGGAACCATGAGTTTCAAGCTTTGGGAACCCGCAGTTCCGTACAATGAAAGCCGCTTAGCTTCGAAAACATAAATTCAAACTTCTGGGAACCGGCAATTCCTTGCAATGGTAACCTCTGGTTCCCAGGTTGGGAACCGTAAGTTTCAAGGTCTGGGAACCGGCAGTTCCTTGCCATGGTAACCTTTGGTTCCCACATTGGGAACCATCAGTTCCAACCTTTAGGGACTGGAAGTTCTTTGCAATGGTAACCTGTGGTTCCCAGGTGGGAACCGGCAGTTGCTTGCAATGGTAACCTTTGGTTCCCAGGTTGGGAACCAGGAGTTCCAACCTCTGGGAACCGGCAGTTCCTTGCAATGGTAACCTTTGGTTCCCACGTTGGCAACCGTGAGTTCCAACCTTTGGGAACTGGCAGTTCCTTGCCATGAACCAAACGCAAACATTCCGGTACCGGTCCATTAAGCAAAACAAAGCGTTCTGTACCGGTCCATTAAGCAAAACCATAAAATTGTAAAGAAACTGTTTTCATATCATTTTGACATGCACCTTTTTCGTGCAAAAACATTTTTTTGCCGGCCCAACAGCCAAACGCAAACATTCCGCTACCGGTACATTAAGCAAAACAAAAGGTTCTGTTACCGGCTCAGTAAACAAAACAAAACAACATTAAGAACCATGAGTTCTAACTTTTTGCAATCAACAGACCCTTCCACTGGTAACGTATGTTTTTTCAGGTTTGGAACCATGATTTTTAAACTTTGGGAATCCGCAGTTCCTTACAATGATAGTTGCTTAGTTTCGAAAACATAAATTCTAACTTCTGGGAACCGGCAATTCCTTGCAATGGTAACCTCTGGTTCCCAGGTTGGGAACCGTAAGTTTCAAGGTCTGGGAACCGGCAGTTCCTTGCCATGGTAACCTTGGTTCCCACGTTGGGAACTGAACCATCAGTTCCAACCTTTTCTATCTGGGGTCTATGCCGGTGTAGTTTTCAACTTGGAATCCGCTGTGAGATTTGGGTATGGGTCAATACCTATAATTATCCCATTTTTAGTGGGATGAACATCCATAAATCCCAGCTATTTTGGGGTTCACTAGGTACCAGGGTTTTGACCCATCCCCATTTGGATAGATTTGGGTCAATGTCTTTAACCTCAGCTCATTGGATCATTCCAGGACTACATCCAGTGGTTGGTGCGCAGCGGTGGCGATCGCTTCTTCCGGTCCTGGATGAGACCTGCAGAGGCGAACAGCGACTGGGGCTCTTCGCAGACTTTCGTTGGTTTCACAACGTCGGGAGCTTCGCAAGTCCCAAGTTCCAAAACGCGAAGGTTGACTGACTATTGGGACAATAGAAATAGAAATGTGTGGAACATCGATTTCTAATCCCATAAGATCCTATGCTATATATGGTAACATTTACCATCAATATACCCCCAATGTTAGCATATATACCATACATGGATCCTATGGGTAATAGATTTCACCTTCGATTCTGCTATTTAAGACCACCTACTAAGTGACCTGCTAAGACCTGCTCCAGACCCGGCAGCGCCAGGATGCCGCAAAAGAGGGCAAGTGCCCGACCAAGGAGGGGCCGTTCACAGCATTTCGTTTTTTCGGCCGACTGGGAAACCCACAAGGGGTTTCTGTGCGTCACAGTCTCAGAAAGGAAACGTAGGTCTGACATAGGTACCCTCTGGTAAACTAACGTAACTATGGAACATCACCATTTTTAATGGGTAAATCCACTATAAATAGCCATTTTCAATAGCTATGTTAGTCATAACCAGAGGGTATCCCTAAATTATACATCCTAAATCCACTGATTCATCCCTTTTCATCCTGATTGGGGCATTTTTAGGTACTGTACCACAGCTATGTCAGGATTTCAATTCTGTAATCAGCCCTTTGGCCTCCACCATGGACCTCCAATCATTCTGGATGAATGGTGATGTACTGTAACTGGGGATATGTCGTGGGGATATGTAAAAATTTAATAGATATACGGTAGCGAGATATAAACAGACAATTAATGGGTATGTTAATGGGTATATAGATGTATATAGTATGTATACGGATGAATGACAATGACAACGTCGCGACGTCAAATGATGGGTTAGGATTGCGGTAACTTTTGAGTTTGGTGAATCGTAATTCATCCAGCATTATTCCTCTTTTTGAATCTTTTCACTTAAACTATTTCCAGGTTGGATACACCCAGGCGCAACCATCTTTGCCTTGCGCATCTTCAGGACTGGAAAGCACTGGAAATCCCGAAATCGTGAGGGCACCGCCCACGGAAAATCGCGGACATCGACATATATAGGACATAGATAGCATCATAGACATATAGCTGGCGTCGTGACGACTTCTGCGCAGTGAAAATCCTCCGTGTTGCGCGCTGGGGTTACTGCAGCTATTGGGTTTTCCCAAGTCTTCAGTGGCCCAACCTGGCCCAACCTTTACACCTTAGCATCAAGCCTGAGTTGAAGGCTTCGGTAGTAAAGAATTGAAACATGGGTATGGGTCAATACCTATAGATACATTTTTAGTGGGATGAACATCCATAAATCCCAGCTATTTGGGGGTTCACTAGGTACCAGGGTTTTGACCCATCCCCATGTTGGGGACCGTCAGACTGGGTTTTCAGTATGACTTCGCCCTTGCTCCAGGATCTTGAAACTGCGGACAAGAGCATCGAAACCTCCAGACAGGATGTGAAGACTCTTGGCAGATCCAATGATGTCCAATGACGAAAAGGGTATAGATACGATGGGGATATTATGGGATATCATTATGATGATAATATGATGGGGATATGATATCCTATATTTGATAGGTTTGGAACAATTGGAAACATTTGGTTCTGAAAATCATCCCTTTTTCGTGCAGCTTCCGCGAGTAGCTATAATTATATATATGCACGTATATTTGCACTTCTATATATATATATACACATCAATATATATATATATACACATCAATATATATATATATATATCGTCTATATATATGTATATATATATATCGTCTATATATATGTATATATACACGCAGTGTATGCATATGCAGTTTATACATATACAGTACACATGCATATACATTTACATACGCATATACATATGCATATACATATATATACATATATATTCGGCCTGAAATCGGGTGGGTTCTCCCAGTTGCGCAAGGGATATTGATGACTGGCAGTCCCCGCTACACCAGCAGCACTCGGGTAATCAATAGGACTGCGGATGCGGCAGGAACCCCCTATAAACAGAGATCTATCCTTAAACAAATTGATAAATAGTGTAAATGAATAAATCAACATATATATATATCTATCCTTATATATATATATATATATCATAATATATCCTATGTATCTCATTTTCTGGACAGCTTTCGACTACGTGGGGGCATTCGATTTTGAGCAATGCACCCACCTTTTTCATTTTGCCATGTCTTGGAGCCCGAGGAACGAAATCTCAAAACTTCGATCGGAGGCAGTGCCCCAATGTTTTGCAAAGGGTCTGAACACTGTAAGAAAAATTGGAACCATTAGTTTCAGGTGTCGAAGTAGTTGTGAACTATTTTTTGAAGATTGTGACTAGCTGTTTTTTTCGTCATTGCATTTGATAACCCGCAGATGTAGCCAAACAAACTCTGGTCGAAATGGAAACTAGAACGACCTGAAACTGCTCCAGGGCAACATCCCATGACAATTCTGCTGCCAGAAGCCGAAGTTGGAGAAGGCTCTGAATGAGCAGAAGCAGAAGGTGCGCTGACCCCCAAGACATCCCAAAATGAGATCCCGAAAAATCCAAAAAATGGGTTTGCAAAGCATGAAGTTCTTTACAGCATTCCCTAACAACTAGGTTTGGAAGGTGAACTTTCATGTGATTTTACATAGTTATTTTACAAGAGTGAGACACTGAACCATTAACATCCAACAAAATCATTTCGTTGGGAGATTTACATGCCATGCAAAAATTACGCGCGGCGGAATCATCATATTTGGCTGGTAGATAAGAGCCACTTCAATGGTTTGCAGCTTGTTGGGGTTCTAGCGTTCTATCCTTCTTATCCTTCTTAACCCTTCACATTGGCAGGAAACAGGAGTTCCGGGTTACAAGTGGCTTCCAAAAATTGGCTACCCCAACGGTTTATCGTCATTTTCTCATTGAAATCGCGGCTGGGGGAATACCCCATGCGTTGTTCTTTGTCCTTTTTCACCTTATATTCCCTGAGGGCAAAATGTGACATGGGGAAGACCTTCAAGATCTCCCACTTATTCCCAGTACTCTCTGGTTATTTAACATAGCCATGGACAATCCCCAAAATAAATGGAATTTTTATAGCTGGGAAAATCATCTATTTCTATGGGCCATCTATACCATGGCTATCTTGAACAACCAGAGGGTCATGCTTTTTGTCTATTTTTTCAATGGCTTGGAATCCTCAGCTGTGCAGGCAGAGTGCCAAGAAATCCATGAAGAATCGGGACTTACCCATAAACCAACAGTTTGCTTTGGAAATCGCTGATTTAGTTATCGATAATTTAGCTATACTAGAAATGATGATTTTCGATGGTGATATCAAATATCCGGAAGGTAGCGAAAACCTTTATCAGTTTTGGATATCCCCACTGAGCTTTGGAGCTGTTCCCACCCCAACACCCAGCATTGACTCAATCAGCCGACTTGCAAGATACGCCGATTTGCCAAACACAGCCTCCAAAAGCACAGGGCGGCTGCATGCTCCTATCATCCTATCATTTTAAGCAGGTCTAAGTGGACGTCAACTCCAACAGGCAATAGCCCTTTTTTGTCCCCCTTCCATCAAAAAAATCCCCCTTAGGGAGACCCCATCCGGAGCTAGTCATCTCTGTATGCGCCATGGCTTCGTGGCGCTTAGACGACAAGGTGCACAAGTTGTGGACGTTGGTTGAGAATGACACCTTTTAAAAGGGAACCAAAAGGGATTTTTTGAACGCAATTCACCATGACTATCCATGACTTTTGTCGGAAATAAATAGCTTCTATTTCTGGGAGGGGGATTGCTTAACCTTGATTGGGATCAAGGTTCTCCAACTCCCCAAAATGGATTTTACCATGTTTGCAGTGGGATCCATATTGGATCAAACCCAGTAGAAGCTGGTGGGTTATGGTGGCGATTCAACCCAGAAAACCAATGCAGGTTCTGGGTTATGGGGCAGACTCCTACCCGAAAAAACGCAAAAGAATGTTAGGGAGTTCCACAGTATGTTGGGTATGGCTTAAACCGTTGTGCTTTTTGCTTGAAGGCTTCAGCGCAAGAAATCGCCACCCCATTGTGGACCAAACTGGTAGCTCATTTTTGGGCCACCCCGATTTTCTAGATGTCCGACTGAGGTGGAATACCAAAAATGGTCACTCCTCCAAACATGGTCTGTTTCACTAGGGGATAAGTATCACTCCATCTTTGAACAAGCCTCCCCTGAAGGTGGCCATTGTGACGGGTGCGGGCAACGGTTTGGGCAAGGTGGGCTGGGGGTGTGAAAAATGGGATTCAGGGGTTCCAGCTACTGACTAACCCTTGGATGGATTGAACGTCATGTTTGGGATGGTTATATATATTTACTTGTACTGTACTTTCATGATCTTCAGCCTGGTGTTTCCAGGCTGGAACGCGGATTTTGAATGGACCTACAGCATCTACAGTAAACCTCATAGAAGTTATGGCTTCCCAAGTTCCGGGCGTTTCTAGTGATATATTGGTGGTGACATCTACTGGAAGCGCAGAGGGTTAGGCTGGTTGCAGCCACTTTCACGATCCCCTCCCTCTAAAATCAAAAACACCCAAACAAAGCCCTGGTGGAATGTATCTTGGAATTATTCATGAACCGGTGTCCCGAAAACTGAGGGTATGTTTGTCATGATTATTTCTATTTCTAGGCACAGCTTCTTTATTTCCGCAAAATCCCAGAACATTGATTCCAATCCTAACTTTTGCCAATTTCAATCTTGTCTTTCCCTAGGAGTATGCCTTGTACTTGGCGTCTCTGGGCGCCAAGGTGCACCGCAGCGGAGGGATGGCCGATTTCGTGGCTCCTTTCTCTTTTTTTGGGGGTACGTTGAAGGTTCGCTCGCGGTCCCCCTTAGCCCCGCTCTTGGGGCTGTTGCTCCAAAGATGGTCTTTGAATAGGGGCGCAGATGATCACATTGGCGTAAAGTGCCACGCAGGTCGCACAAACCAAGCGTTGCACAGGCTTTTGTCTGTGCCCGTGAACCTTCGTTGTGACAATGGCAACTTGCAGTTCTTGAAGGATGTCTCGCACAATAGCTTTTTGCTTTCACACCTTCAACTTGCAGTTCGCTGTGAAAGGCCATGTGCTGTTTTTTGAAAGCGGGCGTTTTAAAGGAGACAATCCGAAGACGCGTGGAAAAGGTGGAGGCCGACGTTTCGCACCTTTTAGCTGCCTCTGTGAACTTCTGTATTGGTAGGAACAGCATGTGTAGGCTTTTGTAGGGACTTTCAGGAGCTTATTGATTAGCATCACGTGCGCCAGTTTAGGTTGATGTAACTAACATGTAGTAGCTTTTTGTTGGGGCTGAGGCACCACGGCTTGAAGGGGGGGAGAAATGGTACCACATTGCTTCTGTTATCTTCGGCTAGTGGTTTTCGATACTTGTCTGTCTTGTCTTGTCGCTTCTCGCCTCTTCTCATATCTTCTCATCGCTCATCTCTCCTCGTCTCATATCTTGTTCTCTGTGTGTTCTTCGTCTCATCTCATCTCGTCGCATGTCTTCTCATCTCTTCTTATCTCTTTTCATCTCTTGGATTTTCTTCTTGCTTATTGGAACATTCCCTGAAAGTTCCCCCTTTTACTGGTGCCATCATAGTCGCACCCCTAGAAGTTTCTTTATACTTGATATACTTCCTATTTGGTGCCATGATAGTTCCCCCTCCAACCAAAAGGGTCGTACCCTATGGTGCCATGATAGTCCCCCGCAACCTAAAGGGTCGTACCCCCCAGACGTTTCTTTATACTTGATATACCCCCTATTTGGTGCCATGATAGTTCCCCCCCAATGGGTCGCATCCCCTTCATAAAGGACCTTAGGGGCACAAGTGATGCTTTTTTAGGCGCACAGATGATTCGAAACCAGGTGAAAGTTTAGGGGCGCAGATGATGCGTTTTTAGGGCCGCAGATGATGGGTGAACCACGAGGTTCCTATGAACATTTGGTGTATATATATATATATATATATATATTATGTATGAATATGAGAATCCAAAATTGGAGGCAAAAGTCACGTACTTATTCGAAAAACCGATGCCAATGCGATTTGGCAATGGGTACCGATGTTTGCTGAAAGGTTTGCCATTGCCAGATTGGATGACTGGAGGGTGTGCAACTGACACGTACATAAATGTTGATGATGCTGGGTATTCCCTATTTCCCTACTTCTCTTCCATCCATGTGAGCGTGAGGCGTTTGAAACTTACTGGTCCTAGGTAGGTTGGTAGAGGTAGCCAAAAAACTGCCCACGCAGGTGGGGATGACTGAAGCTGGTTTTGGGACGACCAATGTCAAACAATTCACGATTTTTGGAAGGTCCAAAATAGGAGGAGCTGTGACCGAGAAAACTGAAGGGTTTGGCCCTCAAAACATCAACATTTGGCCCTCATAGAACTGATCGAAAGCTGGCTATTCGACCCCAAAAAAACAGTTTGAAACTAGCTAATGGGAGACACAAAACATGATACATGCAGGAAGGGTTCCGGTTCCACAAATGGTCGGTCATAAACAAATTGGTTAACTAGTCTATGGACAATGGACTGGATTTATGGACATTCATGGTGGATGTTAGATTAGGAGGGCCCTTCCAAACAATTTCCAAACATGGTTAGTTAGATGGTTGTTTATATAACTTTGCAATACTTTGCATGGATATGATATATCCACAATTAGATGGTGTTACGTGACAGTTCACCCCGGTTAGATCAGTTAGTAAGTGGATTATAACCTAATTATATGGGGACTCAGCCTACTTACCCTACCTATTGCTGGGGTTTAGGACACCTACTTGGGATTCCAGGTTTGTTCACCAAGTCTAAACCAAGTCTGCCTTTTCACTTCTTGTTCAGAATCTGCTGAAGCCAATGCCATAAACCATCCCCATTTCATCACCATTTTGATGGGTGCGATTTCAACATCTATAAGCCACCCTCAGTCATGGTGGCTTTATGGCAGCCAGGCTTTTCCACATTATTCCAGTTATTCATTCTTCATCTATTGTTGGTTACATAGGTCATATACCCATTATTCACCATTCTTCACCATTTATATGTCCATATTAGGAGGTGTCCTAAAATAGGGTTTTTCCTTAAATTTTTGTAGGTTTTTTTTCCTCAGATTTCAACCATAAAAAGCTATTTATTGGGGTAGCCGCGGTAGCCCACTTTCACCAGGTCGTGGTGAATGACCTTGGTAGCAGTACCACAGGGAGCGGTAGCTCCAGCTCAGCAGCAGTGACCTGGTTTTCGGATCAGCTGGGCGGTTTGATCAAAGGCGACTGAGGCAGAGAGTTGCGATGAAGAAATCGTTTTTGAAATCGTTTGTTTTTTGGGGAAACCCATGATCCAAAGACATTTCTGGATTTTTATGTGGGGGTAGATCTGAACGGAAAATTAGGGTTGAGATTGAGATCCTAGGTTTCAATCAGAGGGGGGTTGAACGCTGTCCAAATTATCGCCTGGTGCGGGATTTCACCCAGCATGACCGCTTCTGAGAAGGACTGGCTGGCGGTTTCAATTATGTATGCACATATTATATGTACATATACTGTATATATATAATAATCATGATACTAATAATAAACATAAACATAAGCAACATATATATATATATATATACATATATATACATATACATATATATATATATATACAGATATATATATATATAAATGATATATTTTTTCATCCTGAACGGCCCACAGACAGTGATGATCATGTCACGACCTTTGTATTCATCCTGAGGATGCTGTGGTCAACGACATCAAACAGGCCGGTGGTGAGGCCGCGGACTTGGACCGACCGCTGATTGGATGGTGAGATTCTTTGAAATTGGGTCAGTTGGCACCTCAAGTTTGATAGTCGTGATAAAACATGTAAACATGTATGTATGTATGTATGTATGTATGTATGTATGTATGTATGTATTAATGTAATGTAATGTAATGTAATGTAATGTAATGTAATGTAATGTAATGTAATGTATGTATGTATGTATGTATATATGTGTATATGTATATATGTATATATGTGTATATACATACATATGTATACATATGTACATATATATATAAACTAACATAGATATTTATGACATATCCCCAGTTCTCTATGGGCTATGTATGGATTTAAGACCACTTACACACGCGTGCGACTAGGACTTGAACTTCCCAGGCAGTTGCCAACTACGATTCGGTGGTCGAGGGCGAGAAAATCGTGCAGACGGCCATCAACACGTGCGCAGTAGCAGCAGCAGCAGCCTAACACATATAGTATAATATAATTTAATATAGCAGAATATATAATAATTATTATATATCACAATATAATATGATATAATCTTGTAAAATAAATAACATAATAGAATATAGTATGTTTTGATATGACATGACTTAAAACATAATATAATATAAAATACAAAGATATATTTTATGATATCTTATTCAAACTATAGAGTGCTTGATATATAACATATGAAGTATAGCATATACAGTAGTATATAATATACTACGTAATAGATAATATAATATTATTTAATACAATATCTACTATAATATTATGTAATTATGTAATTATGTAATATAATATATGATATGATAACATTTAATACAATATAATATAAGATCTTTCAAACATCTATAATATCATTCTATATATAATAGAATATAATAAAACATGGTATCATATAATATGATATAAGATAATATGATATAAGCTAATATGTGATGATATAAGATTATTCCATGCAATATTATTGTTCAATATAATGTAATCAAATATATTTTGTATAGTATATCTCATATTATGAATCTAATATTTATATACTATATTTGTTAGATTTTATTTGCTAGATAATATATCAAAAGTTAAATGTAATATAAGATATATAATATAGAATATAATATACTATATATATAGAATATTATCTATTTAATTTTTAATATATATAATACATAATATCAAATGTCTAATATTTAAGATACACATATAAAATATATTAGATACTTTCATAATGGAAGCTTCTTGGCGTCGTAGCAATCTGCAGGGCTGGTTAACACAATTCCTTTGGAACATGCTTTTCCGTACACCTGCAGTGCTTGCAGGACGGTTTGCAGTCCTGGTTCCTATGAAGCGCTGCTGCTACCAAGACTTTTACATTTGCAGCTTTTATTTGGATCCTCTGTCGACCCATTTATTCGGTTTCGGTTTCTAGTATTTGCTATAGGCCCGGTTTTGTTCATGTTCGGTTTCGGTTCCTGCGGTTCCTGGTCGATTTTGGTTCGGTTCGCTTCGGTGTTTGGAACATTCTGCATTGATATTTTTTTTCTTTTTTTTTTCCGGCGTCGGAAAAGCAAATACAGATTGCTTCCCGCAAGAGGTTTATTGCTTCCCGCAAGCGGTTTCATGAGCAGCGGCTTTCAAAGAGCGGAGAGAGCTGAACTCGGAAAACCAAAGCTTCCTGAAATTGTCAGTGCATGCAATTTATTATGAAGAAACCCATATCAACTTTTCCAATCAGTTTATTGGGGGAGGGTAAGACGGTTCCGGTTCCTCCGGTTCGGTTTTGCACACGGTTCCAGCGGTTCACGGTTCCTGCGGTTTATAGGCTATTTGATTTTCTACGGTTCGGTTCCACGGTTCCGGTTCGGTTCCAGAACCTTACTGCCCATTGCATTCTGCCTTCTCATGGTTGGTTTCACTCTTCCTAATCTACACTCGGCTTTATTGTCTCCACCGGCTGCTTTGAACTCCTTCTTGTTCTCTCGGACCATGGGTAGCAGTAACGTGGCAACCCCACTCTGACAGCATAGCAGTAACGTAGCAATTCCACCCTGAGACGATCGTTTACAGCGACAGTGAACCAAACATATGAGGCTGTGTATATATATATATTATATTATATTATTATACATTATATAATAGATTATATTATATATTATACATTATATAAATTATATATTATATTGAAATAACATATATATATATAATGATAACTATTACTATTATCATTAAATATAATATATATATATATACATAGGTTAAATAATATATCATATTAATGTATATATATAATCGATATAGTTTATAATATATATCTGTATAACATCAATATATGTCTATATAATATTAATAGCAATATATGTCTATATAATATTAATATATATATATATTATCTATAATATATATACATAATATCATAATATACAGTATATATACATTATAATATACAATATATATATATAATATTAGATATATAATATAATATTATATTATATTATTTTATATTATATTATATTACACTACATTACATTATATTATATTATATTATATTATACTATATTATATGTATATATATATATGTACGATAACCCTACGAATCGGGGACTTACTAATTATGCTTGTGACAGGTTGCTAAGTTGGATGGTCCTCCACGTAGGTGTACGCCCTGCTGCCAGTTGCACTGGAAATGGTTTTGTCTGAAAATGGGGCCCCAAACCCATGGGTTTATCACAGTTTTCGCTGCTATTTGATGGCCATTTGGGAATCTACGCCATTCTCAAACAAATTCAAATCCCAGAATCGGTTTATGGCAAGATTTATGGGACATCCGGACACCCCTATATTTGGCTGGTAAAACCCATGGTTTCCTGCAGTCCAAAAAACTCCAAGCGTTCACCCAGCACGAGATGGTCATGAGGTATGGCCGCGTGGACATTGTAATCAACAACGCGGGCATTCTCCGCGACGTGTCTTTCAAGCGGATGTCAGAAAAGGACCGACCCTCATGTGGTTGAATGCAATCCTGGATGATGCTTGGTTTTTTCCGTGGTGAATTTAGAACTTCAGATTTACTGAGCAAAATGTCAAACTTGTGGGATCTTTTTTGTGCCATGGTCAAGTTAATCAGATTATTTTTGCTGAGTCATATCAGTCATTTGGGTATGGTCATTGCCTTTTGATTGGGATTTATATACTGATCATCAGGACTGGGAAGCAGTGTACCAGGCTTTGCCGGGCCCGTTCCAGCGCTACCGGGTTATGGGGTTGAAAAGATATGCTTTGGAAAATCTGACCACCTATGAATGTAGAGGAATACTAGCTGATCATCATTTCAATACTGAGAATACTTAGAATAATGAGAAGCATGATCATAATGATAGCACCAATAATGATAGCAGTAACTGTAACTATATCAAAAAACAATAGTATAAATACTATTTCACGTGATGACCCGTGATACATGCTGACCGTGCAACATTCGTCGCAGATAGAAATTCTACCGAACCATTCCATACTGTGATGTATATATATATATATACATACATATATATATATACATACACATGCATACACATGCATACACATGCATACATATATATATATACACATACATACATACATACATACATACATACATACATTACATTACATTGCATAACATAACATAACATAACATACATACATACATACATACATACATACATACATACAGACAGACAGACAGACAGACAGACATACAGACATACAGACATACAGACATACAGACATACAGCCAGCCAGCCAGCCAGCCAGACAGCCAGACAGACAGACAGACAGACAGACACATATACATATAGATATCATATACATAAAATATGTATCATATACATAAAATATGTATATAGGTATCGTATCATATATAGATATCATATACAGATATCATATGCATATCTATAGGTGTTTTTTAATGGTATCATAATAGATTGATATATAGATATACTGTACATGAGCCCTCGGCACATCACACAAAGTGACCTCGGCTCCCCACAGGTTCACCTGAAAGGTGCCTTTAAGGTCACTCGGGCGGCCTGGCCCCATATGGTGCGGACACCCATTTTTTTTTTCGCAACGGCGATTCGTCGTGGGGAGAGTTTTCTGGGTCATGTTTTCCTTGGATGGTTATATTATATATGTAGTATACATATGTATACATCAATATGATGTTTATATGTATATATATATATAGATAGATAGATAGATAGATGGATAGGTAGGTAGGTAGGTAGATAGGTAGATAGATAGATAGATAGCGTTAAGATGCAGAAAAAACAACATTCTACTTGAACGGTGGTACATGTACTTTTCTTTAACAATATTTTTTTTGGGTTCGGTTTATATTATATATATACGTTTTGGGGATGTTAGATTAGGTTCTTTGTTATCTCCCGTCTCTTGATTTTACTTTCTGCTTTCTTAGATTCTGAGCACCTGAAACTCGTCAATTCTTTTGAACGTTTTGAGACTCGAACATGAGATGGTTTAGCAGAACCCGTGACTGAAACCGGGGCAAACTCATCTGGCAGCGGATGGTGGCCAAAATCATCCAGAGCACAATTCATCCAATCACCCTCCAGTAAGCCAACGTAGCTATGGAAAATGATCCATTTATCGTTGATTTACCTCTCAAACATGGTGATGTTCGAGTTGGCAAACGGTTACAGAAAAAAAACCAGAGGCTTCTGCTGGATTTTCCATTGTGCAGTTCCAAGGAGACCAACGGCTACGGCCGAATTGTGAACATCACCAGCCCCGTTGGACTCTATGGCAACTTTGGCCCGGAGACACGGCTTGCTCTGCCGCTGATCATCATTGGAGTTTTTTCCCATGAAATTTTGTTAATCATCATGTTACTTATGTTGATCATCATGTTAATCATCATGTTACTTATGTTGATCACCATGTTAATCATCATGTTACTCTCATCATTTTATATATTTGCCCTGCTGAACATGGCAATTTTGGGTATCCCCTGCGGCTTGTCAGCGTGGGGTTATGAGCCACTTCAAGTGGATCCATGCTTTGGGCATATTTGAACCTTTGGGGCTGAATATGGACCCAGCAAAATCCTATGAAACCATGGTTATTCAACAGTGAATCAGCCGCATTGAAACCCTGGTCTAGTATTGGATCCTCTTCATTTCTGAATCCCTTAGTGGGGGATTTGATGTTGCCGGGATGGAATTACCATTCCTGCATCAAGCACATCCAGTTTGGCAGACACGAAGTTCAGGTCAAGCCAACTACGTAGCAATGAAGAGGTCTTGACGATCGGCGGGGGGGAGAGGAGGACTATCGACAGTGCTATAAATATATACATACAGACATACACGTAAGTGTGCAAATGTTTGAAATTTTGTAAATATGTAAATATGCATATGACATATGTATACATTTGTATATAAATATACGGCTAGGACGGGTGTGCTGCCTGGGGAAATGTGTTTTGACTGCGCAAGGCCAGTGTTTAATGAGATTCGGGATGTCGGCAATCTACCCCAGTGGCTGACGAAAATTGCCCTCATTATGGTCGTCATCATCATCATCATCAGACATGAAACCCCAAGTACGCCTTTAAAACCATGGTAAACACCCTAAAAACACCAAATGAAACACCAAATAAACCTTAAACAAACCCTAAACCATCCCTAAACAAACCCTTAAATAAACCCTAAAGAGTTGGTCACATGATAAACCTCAAGCGGCACACCCGGCCTGGGGGTAAATATACACATTTGCACTGATTGCAGAGAGGATGTACAAATCCACGCATTGGGAATCCAGCACAGATGTATCCTCAATCTCCAAGGTACTTTTTGGTTAGCGTCTATATAACGGTTTGCGAACTGGAAAATCATCATTTTTTATAGGCAAGTCATCATTTCAATATATTTCAATCTATAAATGGGCCATTCACGGTGAATTCGCTAGCTAATCCCAACCATTGTCAAGATTTTTGTTTCCCGTCGATGGTGCACATTTACATGGCTAGTCTCGTTGATTCTGTGCGGAGCCATGGATTCAATGTTTGTCATCCTTGATGGTGGTGCACATTCCAAGTCTATTATTCTATTCAATCCTCACTCTTGGTTGGCTTCCAGTGCGCCTTGCCACCTTGTCACCCTATCTCAGGGCGCTAGTGGGCTTCACCCTGACTTTGGCATTGGAAGGCACGGCCCTGGGATTATGATTTTGGGTCCAATATGGATCCCATTCTACTGGGTGCGATCCCACTAGTCCCAAAGTAGCTGATCCATCTGCTGGGGTTATTACTGTGGGTTTGTTATACTGAATGGTTATGCAGATTTTTTTCCTGGGGACTTGACCACAGAGAAACTCGCGGATTAAAGGAGCTATTTTCTACTTGCCTTTGGATGAGTTCTTTGCAGCATCAAAATTGGAGATAGATGGAGATAGTCTCTAGAGATGAGGATTGACTGGTCTGAGGATCCAGGATTTGACACACGTCTCGATAGGAAGGAGATCAATTTTGTATAGAACGGAATATACACAAGACCAGCAATGATCAGAATGATGGCATTCTGACCTTTCTCACCAGGATGGTAGCTGCTAGCACTTGGATAGCTTTGGTGTTTTTTTCTTCGTGATGCTCCCATTGTTTTTGGGTGAGAACCTCCATTTTGCATGAATTCATAGGTTGATCATCATCTTCCTGATGATTTGATGTCCATGTTGCTGAGTATCCCCATGAAATAACACCAAAATCCCCATCATTTGGCCGAAAGATCACCGAAAAACACCATTTCGCTGGGGGTTTCACCACGCTTTTGGCCATTTTTATAGCCTTTTTCTAGCCGTGTCTCGAAATGGCTCAAAAAAATATCCCCCAAATAATTGGCTATGAATGGCTTTCTGAAACATAGGGATGATGATGATAAATTTTCACCATTGGATTTATGGCCCATTGCGTCAACCACGCCAAAATCCTCCCTCAGAAATGGCCTGGGTCGATCGCCTGGGTCTTTGGGAGGTGCCAAGAAACAGATCAAGGCCAATGTGGTGGCGCCTTACGCGGCCTCCAGGATGTCGACACTTGAAACCAAGAGAACTATAGGGCTTTCACCGGAAAATGTCACGGTGATGAATGGACAATCATGGGAGTTTATGGAAATCATAGGGATTATCTATGGAATTTATGGGATTTTATGGTGGTTAATTCGAAGTTCACCAACAACATATTGACAAATTACTTGGAATTTACCCTCCGGTGATTTAAGATAGAGAGGTATGGAAGCCACGGCCCATGGATAGTTGATTACCTTGTAAAATGCTGATTTTCCATAGCTGTTAGTTTACCAGACGGTAGTGAGTTAATGGGGGGTTTTTACCAACAGAACATGTGGTATGGGCCGGAATATCAATGGAATATTTATCGCGGGCTAGCTGGGAAATCGCCGAACTAACTGAAGGTTTTATTGGAAAGTCATTGAAGTAGGGACTTTTCCCTCAAGACGTGTTTGATTAACGGAGGGTAATGTGGCAATGCGTTGATTTTTGGGCATTCAGTGGGATGCACACATGGAATGCCCATATGAACCTCTTTGTGCTGTCAACCTTTGCCAACACAATTTATTGGAGTCTTTGACTGTTGTTACATGCACCTGAGCTCACCATGAATCATTGAAATTGGGGTCTTTTTTGAAAGACATTTTCTGGATGAAAGTTCACGAAAGGTTTGGGTGAGCCTTGAACCTCCAAGCAGAGAGCCACCTCGCTGCTGTTGCTCAGGAAAACCGTGATGTCATCAGAGATGCTCGAAGCTTTTGGCTCAGTTTCTGCACGAGTTTCCACGGGCTGGTTGATGATGGTACCCTCTGGTAAACTAACATAACTATGGAAAATCACCATTTTTAATGGGAAAACTCACTATAAATGGCCATTTTCAATAGCTATGTTAGTTTACCAGAGGGTAACTCTGGTGTCATCCCACATTTTTCAACAGCCGTTCTCAATATATCGATGATGGCAGCTCTGGTCCACTGTATACTGTATGCCAAAGCACTTTTTTTTGACAAACAAGGACAGGGCGATGAAAATTGGATTGACTCAATCACCGACATCGTGGGAACAGACCGGCAATATCCGGCAATCAAACTACCAGAGGATACATTACTCCCCCATGAAAGACGTTACTCCCGGAATCTCAAGGAATCTCTAGGATCTCCAACCATGTCAAGGCGCTGCCTGCTGCACCTGTGGCCAAGTTCATTGCCTTTCTGCCCGACACCCAGGTGGCTACTGAAATGGTTACCCCCGACCAACAGCCCAGGGGGTCATGAAATCTTCCATGATTTTCATTTAAGCAGTCGTTCGTTTGTTTTTCATACGCTGGGATAATTTCAGGTTTAACTTGAAAAAGTAAAGCGTGGGAAGTGGAGAAATCTCATTCTCAAGAGGACAAACGGTGAGAGAGCCATCAGATCTTGCGCTTCAGCAGGTCCACTTCTATTTGTTATAGGAAAGAAGGCCGAACTATGACGGTTTAAGCAGTTTGAGGCTGCCATACCAAGGATTTGGGTCAAGGATCCTCCAATCATTCCCCAAGTTGAGCTCCCAGCTGAGCTCTTCACACTGGAGCCCTCTGAAATCCCCGAGGTGTCATGAAAAGTGCCCCGAGTCCGGTGGTATTTTTGAGCTGGGGGGCAACTGGGTGTCGAAGGCGGCCTCTGAGGGTTCCTGGGGATGACTGATCCATAGATGGTTTGGGGTACCCGGTGACAAAGCCATACCCATAGGATCCATGTATGCTATATATGGTAACATTTACCATCAATATACCCCCAACGTTAGCATATATACCATACATGGATCCTATGGGATATGGATCATCTGGATCATCGCAATGTTCTTGCAGATCCAAGTTTGACCCTCTCTCAGCAGGTGAGGTTTGGATCTATGATCTATTCATTTCATGGCCACATCGGGGAAATTTTACATGGGGGGATGGGAAGAGTACTGTCAACATCCCCGCGTGGATAGCACTGTGCCTGGCAGCATTTTGTTTGACTGAGTCTGCTCCTGTTTGCTTTCCTAGTGGTTCCAAGATCTTATTTGATTCGTTGTTTGATGGGTGAGATGTTTGGCCAGGTGCGATTGCAGCGTTCCCGCGGAGTGCAATTCCGCGATGGTTTCGATTTGGAGGCGCCACATTTCACCGTTTGGCTGGCTGGAGAATAGAGGGTTGATCACGGCCTTTCATTTTTTTGGGGCGATGGCATGTGTCACCCAAGTCAACCAAGTTATATCAAGTTATTCTCACTATGAACGGGCCTTTTTTTCAGGAAGATGATGACCACCTTCCAGAGTTTTGTTTTCGGCTTCCACTTCAGGTTGCAGGAAAGGGTTCTATATAATATATATAAAATTATATATAAATATATAATTTCACCAACATTGAAGCCTCGGAAACTCCGAGAAACGACTGAGTTGACCCTGGCTGTGCTGGCTGTTTCAGGACATTTCTGCGCACTTCAAAGAAATTTGCGACTTTGGGGAAGGCCCGCAGGAAAACGTGATATATAATATATACATATATATATATACAATATATATATATATACACACTGTGTATATATATAATTATATGGAAGTAAAATATACCTCTGAACATATGAAAATGTAGGCCCCCAGAGGGGCCGCTGACCATATATATTTATATACATACACTGTACTGTATATATATGTGTATATATATATATATACACACTGTATGTGTATATATATATATACATACACTATATACATACACTGTATATATATATATACACTATATATATATATATGCAGTATATATATACACACTGTATATATATATATATATATATACATACACATAGATAGATAGATAGATAGATAGATAGATAGATAGATAGATAGATAGATAGATAGATAGATAGATAGATAGATAGATAGATAGATAGATAGATAGATAGATAGTATAATAATATATTCATGTCATTACATGTCCAATTTTAGGAGTTTCATACCCTAAAGGTGCCCCAAAGTGGCATAAAGCGTGGGGGGAATGCTGGTGACGATACTTGGGGTACCCAACTTAGAGCGTTTTGAGTTGCTATCTTTCCCATGGTCAGAATGTGATCATGGCCCAGGTTCTGAATTTCCTACAGAAGGTATGTCAGGCATGGGCCATGCAATGGTCCTCTACTCAGTGAAGTTGTTTGGGATGCATGATGTGGAGACAGCAGATTTGATGCACGTTTTTTCCCCTTTGGATGTAGACTGTCGACGTGGTTTTGTCTAAAAATAAGGCCCCACCCCAGCAGTGACCCCATTTTCAGACAGACCCGTGTAGACTCGCGTTTTTACCCGAGGCTGCCCGACAAAAAAGACCTGACGGCAAAACTGAAGCGAAGCTTTGAGATGACTTCCCGCATTTGAAGCTGGTGTTTGACGGCCAAGACTGTATGAAATCAAATGATATGAAATGATCCTAAAACTCAATGATTCAGAACACATACAAATTCTGGGCAATGAAATCGGGGCAACATTCTGTCGCCACTTACTACAACCCTGTAGATGATGGATCAGCAGTTGGGCAACTGGGGTGGGCGCGCCAACCCCACCAGTCACAAAGGGTTTGCCAACCCTTCCCTCGGAGAACACAACTTGGATTTGCCTCTCAGAGACTCTCGCATTTGGTGAGGTCCAAGGGGAGTCGTCGCGGATAAGTCTGTCTTGGACCAAAGTTGCTGGTGGCACGGATGGACACTTTTAATGTGTCGCAGCGAGGTTTTCCCCAAAAGGGGTAGGAATCCTTCCATCTGCCGATCGTAGAGCAGTAGGGGCACAGAATCATCATGAAAAACGCCGCGACACGCCCGTCCTTTGTGCTGATTTTCCATGTGAAGGTCAGTGAAGTCGGAATGTGTTTAAGTCGCTTCAAGGCACGGGTTAGGCTTCATTTGATTGCGACGAACATATCACGCCATGGGTTGGATCATGGCATGTAAAACCACCGGCAGTGTCCAATTTTTTTTGACTCGATCACTCGATGCAATTTTTCCGGAATTGGTTGAAGGGAACATCTTGAAGGGCTTTGTCCCTCTATGTTTGGGGGGTACAACCATGGCTTCCTGTAGGTTTTCAAGTCAATTCATGGAAATTTCACAGCCACCTTCACGTCTCCAGCAAAAAAGTTAGTGAAATGTGAAGCTGTCGCTTGGACAAAAGGACCCGGGCCTGGGTTTGGTTTGGAAGAAAAGGGAAGATGATTACATGAGGGGATGGGATACTGTACATCTTACAGCTAATTAACGCAAATTATTCACTATGAGAATTTCCAGTGCAGCCGCTATCCCCCTTTTTGTTAACCACCCAGAGCACCCATAGCCGGGCATCCAGTGTATACCTGGCCCTGGTGCCACGGTTTTTGTTGATTCAACCCTTTTAGCCAGTTGTAAACGATGATCCCCTCAATCTTAGAAGGTTTTTATATGTTTTTATTTTAAACAAAGGGGACACTCATCATCTTTAGCTGCTAGCCAAAACAAGTTCTTCGTTGCTTGAAATTACCATTCTCTTGTTGCTCCAGGAAGTGTTTATTGCCGTTGATTCAATCACCAGTTGCTACCCTGAACACTTCCAAACCATTGCCATGTCCATTGCGATTTCGTTAAAATCGTCTTCTAACCTCCAGTTCTTAACATTTCTTAACCACTACTTTTCCTTTTCCACGTTGAAGACCACGATACTCCCACGATTTCACGGTTGGTTGAAATTCTTTTATATTCGCGCTACAAGTTCAAGCATAGGTTTCTTTTCTGTTATTTACCTACTTGTGGGTCATTTATTTGGGCACATGTTTGTGAATATTCCATATTTTTGGTAAATCACTGACCTCACTGCAACATCACTGCGAATGATGGCTAATAAGGGTAAGTATGCAGAAATGCATAGAAATGGCCTTACTTTATATAGATTGGTGAACTATTGTAAGTAAGCTAGATCAATCTTTGTTTGGCGGTTTCAAACATGTTTAAAACAAATAAACCAAAACATACCAAAACAACCAAACTGGGAGTAACTGGGATGATGATACGCCCAATGATTTTCATATTTTTCAGAGACCGCCCACCAGCACCACCAGCACCACCAGCACCACCAGCACGACCAGGTGGACAGCGCCAAACGTGCGCAGAACGAAGCGGCGGCGCGCTTGTCGAAGTTGGAGGCAGAGAAGAAGGCGCCCGGCCACGTTTTGTCCCCTTGGATGAGCAGTTTCAGACACCTTACCCTCTGGTAATTTAACATAGCTATTGAAAATGGCTATTTATAGTGGATTTTCCCATTAAAAATTGTGATTTTCCATAGCTACGTTAAATTACCAGAGGGTACTTGGTTGACGAATATACTGCCATCATAGGTCTACGTTTTGGAAGAATTCAATTCAATTCATGACCATCCCACTCATCAGCATACCACTAATGCATACAGCATTACTGGGGAATTTGTACATCATGGCGATACATACCGCCCATAATATGATCGTGGTACGTGGTGAAGCTAATTCAAAGTGACATTTTCAAACATGGCATTTGTTTTGGGACGTTTCACCAGAACAAAATGGAACCTGAACCAGGCAAATGGGTTGACAAGATATGTGCTTTTCATGGATTGCAACAGTTGTTTGGCCGATTGGTGCTTCCATCCTTTCTTGACTTCCAGTTTTTGTTTGGGTATTCTATGATAAACATTGATAAACTAGAAATTTCTGAGTAACCTCCAGGTTTTTGAGTCCAAAGATCCTGACAAAGATCGAGATCAAACGCCGAAGTGCCGCCAGGAATTTGTGACCAAAACGCAGAAGGAAGAGAGTCAGTTGCAGAGCGAATTGGCCCAGGCGGACCATGCTGGACCATGCTGGACCATGCTGGACCATTGGTTGCAGCGACTGGGGATGGTGGATGAATGGCCCCCTTGGGCTCAACGGATAAATTTTTTCATGACCTCACTGCGATTTCACTGGAATGATGCCCTTGTAAGAGGAATCATTCGGAAGAGAGCCTTAGTTGAGGTCAGTGAACTGTATGTTGACTTATCCAGATTTTAGATCTAGAAATCAAAATCAAAGGGTAGCCCCGAAAGGGAAGCCCCAAAAGCAGATGAGGATATTGAGGATCCATGTTTTCGGGGTTCTCATCAACTACCATCATTTATTAAAATCCTATGAAGCCAGCAATTTTGAGGAGGCACAGTTCCATCATGTTCCATCCCCCAAACAGAACTGGAAAATGGTTGATATCCTCTGGGAGTTGTCCCGGATTGAAAAACGTTGGCATTTGTATTGCTTCATGACTTGGTGGAGCTACCCTCTGGTAATTTAACGTAGCTATGGAAAATCACAATTTTTAATGGGAAAATCCACTATAAATAGCCATTTTCAATAGCTATGTTCAATTACCAGAGGGTATTTTTCTTCATGCTCTTGCAAGTTGACCAAGCTCTACACACGGATATGATGGTGACGCGCGGCCGATTTTTGCTCTGAAGTACCTGGAATACTGATGAAGATTTGGAACCCAAAACCATCCATAGCCATCCAATTCGTTTTGGAGCGTCCTTTTGCTGCACACATGCTTCATTCTATTCCCTTCCAAACAGTGCATGAACTTTTTCAGCCCTTGGGACCCCTGGAATCTCCAACCTTTCCAAGAAGCCTGCCGGTGCGAGCAGACCCACCCAAAGCAACCACCCAGCACTTCCAAAAAATCCGACTCAGCTGAAGCTTCAATGGTTCGGCCGCCATGATCCAGCCCAAATCTTCCAGGCTGCTGTCCTTTTCGGTGGAGGCCGCTCGCCTCAGCGACGCGGATGCGACGCCAGCGCCAGCACCGGCCCCGGCGCCACGGCCCAAGTCGCTGACCCGCCGCGAGTCGCCCTTGGCTGCAGCAGCCAGGCGTGCCCGGGAGGCTATGGCGCGCAAGGCCGCGCCCAGGGCCAAGGAAGGCCCTGTCAAGGAGCAGGATGGTCCTATCAAGGCCAGGGAAAGTCCGGTCAAGGCCAGGGCCAAGGACAGTCCTGTCAAGACCAGTGGCAAGGAGGGTCCTGTCAAGGCCAAGGAGACCAAGGAGGGTCCGAAGGCCAAGGCGGTGCCGAAACCGGCGGCAAGAACTACGCCTTATGCAGCCAGGTCGCTGATTGAAAGGCCCAAAGTGGAATCAAAGGTGCTCGAGAAAAAACTGGGGAAGAGCGAGACTTCGGAAACATCTGCGGGATCCACACCCAAGTGTGTCTTGTTGGAGGACTGCCAGGGGAGCTTGTCCCAGACTTTGGTTGAAGTTGGGCCGAGAATGTCATGGCTGTGTGTCGTGGTCCAATGTCCATTGTTTTTTGTTTCAACTTTGTATTATTCTATCTTGATATCCTTGATCCTCTTTGTACATAGCATGGACCATATTTTCAGACCATGCCAAACCCAGATGTTGTTCACTTTGAATATTCGTAGTCAAGTACATATCTCATTTTTTTTTGGTATCTAAGTTTTGATCTACATCCATGATGTTTTTCAGTACGTTAGCTTTAAGATCATCCTGTGAACTGTGCAGGTTATATCATGCCAAAGCGGCAACTTTTCCCGCCGCCTGCAGGATACCAGCAACATGACCAACCGAGTTGAGAGGGCCGAGATTCTTGAGGCGAATCCAACGCCCATGGTTTGATTAGGGGCTGCCATGAACATTGAGACACAAAGACTCACAAAGATTTACTTTGTATACTAAATATATTAATATAATTTAATATACATATATTTTTGTATATTATTGATATACATAATATAATGCACTACATGTATATGATATGTATATATGTATATATATTTGGTACCCCCCGGTACCTACCTTTTAATTACTCTTATTGGTATTCACGTGGTTTGGTGACTGATTTACATGGTTGGAGTTTGGCAGTAGTTTCGAGAGGGGGTACCATATATTTTTATACATACTCACATATATATAATATATATATATATACATACATGGATATACAGATATTTGTAACCACCAAAAAACCCACCGAAGAGAATATTTCACTGGTAATTACAGTTTTTTGATAACAATTTGGCATACATAAATAACTGAGGGATACCATACATCTATATTTATACCTATACTATATATCTATATCTATATCTATCTATATATATATATTATAGTGGTTCAATATTTTGCTAAGACCAGTGAATGTTAATATGATTTGATAAAGATTCATCTTGAACTTGAAATCTAGGATCCACAAAAACTCTGGAAAGTTCGCAATGTTTTTTGGATTCAAGCTTCAAGATTCTGAGAAACACTTTTTGAATCCCACGCCTTGAATCTTGATGAGGGAAGTCTGGATTCAAAAAAAAAAATCAGAATCTTGAATCCTGGATTAGGATTTCCGAAAGTTTTTCTCAGAATCTTGAACCTTGAATCTTGGATTGGGATTCAAAAAGTTTTTCTCAGAATCTTGAATCTTGAATCCCAGAAATGTTGCAATTTGATACAAAATATACAGATTGATTCATCATTCATGCTCTTTATTTAATGTCCCTGCCCATGTCACAAAATAAAAGATAATAAAAGTACAGAACAGGCAGGTATTTTGGGTTTCTTTGTGTTTTATTTGCTTTTTTTTATGTTTTGATGTTTTGATCCTTAGGGTAGACCCAGATTAATCCAAACCAAATCTGAATCATCTTGCTTCTATGGCATTATGTATTTACCAAATGCATCCCTTACAAATCATTACTCAAGAAATGCTTGTATGATAAACAGAAGCAGTATTCTGTTGGGGATGTGCAATTTTCCAATCAAAGGGTGAAGGCCTTTGGGATGTTCAATTTTCTTCTTTTGGTGAGTGAAACATTTCCTTCAATTCAATGGCGTTCCTTTCCAAATAGATTGTAATTGGGCTTCTTTAAAAGGAGTATCACATGCTTTTCGGAGAATTGGTGCTACTTTCAAACGTAAAGGACAACTGAGACAATTTTCTTTTTGGTAAGTGAAGCATGTACTTCAAATGAATGGGATGTACAAAGGAAAGGACCTTCTAAGAAAAGGTGCTACCGGTACTTTCCACAGTACAGCTGTTTTTTTTTGAACGGAGTGCGGCATTATCCTTTAAGGACATGGTGTTACCTTCCAACATAGATAAGAGCTGAGCTTTGAAGGGGGGTGTTACTTTTTTTAGTAGACATATTCCATATTCTGCGACAATATACACTTCATATTCTGCAACAATATTGTTTCTGTTGTTTGAACAAATGGCTGCAGCTTTGAGTGAAGTATTTTTCTTTCAAGGAAAATGCATCTGTTTGAGAAAATATATCCATCATGAAAAATGGAGACAGGAAGAATGTACTTAAAATACAATGCATCTTGTAGAGAACTAGTGTGTTTTTTCGAAAAGAAAATCAACCTTCAAATTGAGATTTCCCTAAAAAGTTCTGCGCTTGCTCAAAGCTACAAACAAGATTCTAGCATCAGGCTGTGTGACGGACTTTTGCCTGAAGATACTGATGGCACTGCATCAAGGCAACCAATCTATCGAACATATCCACAACCTGTTGAAAACTCCACGGAGCTTCCTTACTTTTCTAACTGAAATAGGCCTGGTAGATGAATTAAGACTCGTTTCTGCAAGTTTTAATTAAAAGGTAGGTACCGGGGGCGAGGGGGCTAGCATGCATATATATATATATATATGCATATATATATATACATATACATGTGTACACATGTGTAGTGCAGAAATAGTACAACATATAAACAAATATAAACAGTCCATCATGTATATATATATATACACAAAAAAGTATATTACAAACATATCATACGTATACTAGAGATATATAGCAAGTATATTAACAGAAAAATTACAGATATATCACATCTAGTGTACATATATATATATATATATATGTTGAACTATGTTTCAAACACATTATATCATCATATATACATTGTATGTAGAAGGGACTTGTGTATTCATATGTATATATATATATATTATATAATATAGATGTATAGTTAGACAGACATGTTAATCATGCGCACATATGTATACAATGATGCGGCAAACCAGCTGGATAGATCTTGGACTGGCCATGGCAACAGCACAACATGTGCATATCTGAGGCCAACACATATGTATAGCACTAGTCAGCACCAAAGTACACATACCGGATACACAGATAGATAAATAAATACATCAAAATATACAATATGTAGAGGACATAATAACATTCTAGATCAATTTATATCTACATATTCATATATATATATATAATCTATTTTTTCTCTAATCACTCACCGATCAATCGCTACCTATCTAAGTCATCAGTGTCAGGCCGCGCAAGTCTTGCGGAAGGAGGCGCAGGACTTGGGCCAGGCCTTGCGGCAATGGGTGGCTGAGGCCGAAGCGGAAGCGGAAGACGCCAAGGCCGGGACCGGCCGGGACCTGGATGATGGATCTAAACCATGGGGATTTCGATGGCAAAAACTGATGGATTTTGCATGATTTGATGGATTTAACATGATTTAACCAGAAGGGAACATCTGAACCAAAAAAAAGGCATCTACTTTTTTTTGATTTCCATTAAATTTCAAAACTGTTATGATGGGTTTAAGGGAACATCTGAAGCAGAAACCATTGAAACCAGGGCTTTTACTACTTGAACTGTCCTGCCGAAACTCCCTGATGTCATTTCGGGAGACGATGGAGACGATGCAAGGATGGAATGTTTATTTTTGGGGATGATTTGCAGGAATCCAACTGATTTTGACATAGAAAATTGGATACAACTGAGACATTTTTAGGGAGTTTGAGGAGCAGCATGTGAGAATTTTGAAGAGGTTTTCACCAAAAAAAATTGGTTTTGAAACCACAAGGACGATTTTCAAACAGTAAAAGTAGGAAAGAGGTCACGCCACCGAACTGCGGATTTCTTCACTGAGTAAGTTGATTTGCATTGCAACACATGGGGCAAACATTCAATCTACGCATGGATTAACCATAGTTGGAATCAAGTGAGATCCTTTTACTGTATTTAGTCAAGTATGATAATATCATCCTACCTTTACCACAACTGTGTTCGCATTTATATGGGCAGTGACCAACAGGTAGATAAGCAAAAGGTTGGACTAGGCATACAGGACCCATTGACTGGGATCCCTTTTTCCATTTTGCTGTACTGGGATGATGCTGGTTGGTGGCTTCAAACATTTTTTATTTTCCATTTCATCTATGGGATGTCATCCTTCCCATTGACAAACTCATATTTTTCAGAGGGGTGGCTCAACCACCAACCAGTGATGGTACTATTATCATTAAGATTATGATTATGGTATTAATATTAACCATTCATAATGGCTATATATTAATTAAGAATGCTATATATATAGCCATTATTAATATTAATAACCATTAATATTAATATTAACCTGGTATTAATATGGGATTATTAACCATTAATAGTGGCTTTTTGTCGCATTCTGCCCCTCTTCTCCCCCTAGGATCGGACCAGCTCGGTGGCGATCTCGGAGGCGTTGACACGTGTCTCAATGCTCCTTTCTATATCTAGTGTCTAATATCTAATATCTATATCTACATATACTTATATATATATATATATGAACATATGTGAGTCCGCCAAACTGTCCACCTTTTTTCCTTTTTCGTATGCATGGAGACACACGATCCGAGATCTCCTTTCGACCGGCCCATTCCGGCAGGCGACATGCCGTTCCAACGACCATGACGAAGCCCCTGAGGTTGGGATTGTCTGACATTTTGGGTAGCCCCAACTTGGAGTTGTTTGATCTGAATCATATTTTTCCCGTTAAAGTTTCTCATTTGAGCAATATTCCATGATATCCCCGTTGTATAATATCCGCAGAATATCCTGTTGAGGATATACCCATTGATATTCTGAGGATATTATCCATTGATTGTTGTGGATATCCCATGACATTCCGATTGTATAATATCCTCATAGTATCTCACAGGCTTATCCCAGGATGTCCCCATTGTATAAGAATAATTTTATAGTTAGTTTCCCATAAAATTATCATAGTATTCCTCCGAATATGGTAGTTTCCCATAATATTCCACCCAAAAAACACAATCTGGTTGGTGGTTTGGAGCATATTTCATTTTTCCATATATTGGGAATCATCATCCCAACAGACTATTTTTCAGAGGGGTAGGTCAACCACCAACCAGCAATAATATTCCCATAAAGTTTCCCTTGCAGTTGGTTTCCCATAATATTCCATGAATTCCACCTTTTTTTGCTCGGGATGATGGACCTGTGCGGCAGGTCCACCTGGTTCTGGATGGTGCGGAGGCGGAAAAAACCCCCGTGAAACATTTGAGAGCCATTGCCATGTGAAACATGCATAAACATACATTATCCTGACATGATCTATTACCATCTGGTTATTTAACATAGCCATGGAAAATCACAATTTTTAATAGGTAAACCATCTATTTCTATGGGCCATTTTCCATGGCTATGTTAAATAACCAGAGGGTATCATTTTCGGTGATATTTGTTGTACATGTTCGAAGAAGAAGCAAGACCTTCACCATCCTTTGGCATGTTGTTTTTTTGAGTCATTGAGCTATGTGTGTGGAAACATGGGCAAACCAAGAATCCACCAGTTCAAACATGTACATGGGAAAATAGAAGCAACAAACAGGTACGGTATATAATACTACCAATCAAGTATGACACCACCATTTGGACTCGGTTTAACGCTGGGGAAGCAAAGTTTCCTGCAACATTCCTCAAAGCTTGAGGCAAAACTGGGCACCTGAACAAGTTCAACGGCACATGTCAGGAATGAGGTTAGTCTGAAAATGGGCTATAAATGGATATTAAATTACTTTACTTCGTGTGATCCCCACCATGACATTTATACATTTTCTTACTGGCAAATCTTCTGGCATTCTATCTGACATATCTTCTGGCATTCTATCTGGCATTCTATCTGGCATATCTTCTGGCATATGTTCTGGCATTCTATCTGACATTTCTTCTGGCATTCTATCTGACATATCTTCTGGCATTCTATCTGGCATATCTTCTGGCATATTATATATCTGGCAAATCTTCTGGCATTCTATCTGGCATATCTTCTGGCATTCTATCTGACATTCTATCTGGCATTCTATCTGGCATATCTTCTGGCATATCTTCTGGCATATCTTCTGGCATTCTATCTGGCATTCTATCTGGCATATCTTCTGGCATATGTTCTGGCAAATCTTCTGGCATCCCATCCGGCAAATCTTCTGGCATATGTTCTGGCATATGTTCTGGCATATCTACTGGCATATCTTCTGGCATATCTTCTGGCCTTCTATCTGGCATTCTATCTGGCATATCTTCTGGCATTCTATCTGGCAAATCTTCTGGCATTCTATCTGGCAAATCTTCTGGCATATGTTCTGGCATTCTATCTGGCACATCTTCTGGCATATGTTCTGGCATATCTTCTGGCATATCTTCTGGCATTCTATCTGGCACATCTTCTGGCATATGTTCTGGCATATCTTCTGGCATATCTTCTGGCATTCTATCTGGCATATCCTCTGGCATATGTTCTGGCATATCTTCTGGCATTCTATCTGGCATTCTATCTGGCATATCTTCTGGCATATTATCTGGTAAATCTTCTGGCATTCTATCTGGCATATCTTGTGGCATTCTATCTGACATTCTATCTGGCATTCTATGTGGCAAATCTTATGGCATATGTTCGGGCAAACATTCTGGCATTCTATCTGGCGTACCTTCTGGCATTCTATCTGACATTCTATCTGGCATTCTATCTGGCATATCTTCTGGCATTCTATCTGGCATATCTTCTGGCATTCTATCTGGCATATCTTTTGGCATTTTATCTGGCATATCTCATGGCATTTTATCTGGCATATCTTCTGGCATTCTATCTGACATTCTATCTGGCATCTCTTTTGGCATTCTATCTGGCCGTTGAGGTCCAGCGGTGCACACTGAGCTGGGCAGGTCCCAGGTTGAGGTCCAGCGGTGCACACTGAGCTGGGCAGGTCCCAGGTTAAGGTCCAGCGGTGCACGCTGAGCTGGGATGGTCCCAGGTTGAGGTCCAGCAGTGCACACTGATCTGGGCAGGTCCCAGGCTGAGGTCCAGCGGTGCCCACTGAGCTGGGAAGGTCCCAGGTTGAGGTCCAGCAGTGCGCACTGAGCTCGGAAGTTGGCGAAGAGCTTGGCCAAGAGTTGGCAAGGCGGAAGTTGAGGTGGAAGTTGATGCAGACATGGTCGAGGAGAAACTGGAGGAGGAGGCAGAGGAGGAGGAGAAGGCGGAGGAGGAGGAGGAGGACGGAGACGAGGAGGACAGCTAGCCGAGGAGAACAACTCTGATAAAATCTAACAACCCTCACCTGGCAGGGGGAAAGGTATAAACACCACATTTTTGGCCATGGAGGGAAGGGCTGATTCACCGGTGGGGTCGTGCCATATCCCAGGTGCGACCCAACTCGCCTGTGCTGGCAGATCCCACGCGAGAGGCGGACATAGATGATGGTTGGTTGATGATCTTAATGAGTTAAACGACACCTGGTTTCTTGATATGTTTCTTGATTTTACACACATATATATATAATTATATATGTACCCATTAATGGATATTAAACAATGGATTTTACTGGGGAATCGTACAACTATGTACAAACCACAATTATTGATGCCTAGGAACCAGCAAGGACGACGGTCAGCTCCTCGACCGGATGGACAAGTGTCAAAACTCATGCCAGAATTTACGGAGAATCAATGTGAGAATACATATCATATATATATGTGTATATATATATATGTATATGTATATATATATATATTAACATATATCAACATGTATTTCAGAAATGACCACTTGTTTTATGTAAGAGTAGCAGTCAGAATACGTGTCGGAATTTATGGTCAGGAGAATGTCGAATGTATGTTTGAATTTGGGGTCAGGATAGATGTCAGAATGTATGGGTACATGTCAGAATATATGTCGGGATTTTGGTCAGAATAAATGTCAGAATATATTTCCAAAGATGTCAGACTATCATCTATATGTCAGAATTTTGGCAAGAGAACATGTCAGAATAAGTGCAAGAGTTTTCGTCAGAATGCATGTCATCAGAATACATGTCAGAATACTTATGTCACGGTTGTCAGAAAAGAGATGTCAGACATAGTGACAGGAGACATCTGACATCTAATATACATGTCGGAATTCTGTGACCTAGTCAGAATACATGTATGGAAACTTAGTGTCAGAAAACATCTTCGAGTTTATCTCAGAGATATGGAACAAATTTCAGCCCACCTTGCAAGTTAACTCGATGGTGTCATTGAACTGTGGTGCGGACTTATGTCAAAGATCCTTTCCGAAACACACACACACATATATTTACATACATGCATGAATGACATGAATACGTCATTATATATATAGATAACTAATGTGGGTAAAACAATGTCATAAACCATGACTGGGAATGGTAAACATACCACATCATACCACCTATTTTCACATGGTGACTGGGGGATGGTAAACACCAATGCCAGGCGCATGGCAGGCAACGCTTGGAACATGAGTCGGACACTCAGCCGGCCATAATTTTTTTGCGCGAAGGGAGCGATGGTATGGGGGGAAATGAGAACACAAAGGTAACGACTTGTTAGAAATTATCAGATCATAGATGTGGCTTCATATATGCTATGTAAGTTTCTGAACTTGATTCTTGGAAATTTGTAAGATCATAGATTTGGTTTCCTATATTTCCCTACCCTACTGGAAGAATTTTCGAACGCTTGGTTTCCTATGTTTCCGGTAAAGATGTGCATCCGGATTGACAGGAATACCCACGATTTGATGGTAGTTGGTGGAAGTCATCCTTGAACTTGTAATGCCAGCCGTCAAAAGAGTGTTTCTTCTTAACCCGGGGTATTGATTTGTACATGTTCCCACTTTGACACCCATGTTAGATGGTCAAACAAGATCATGATCCGCTAGTTTTTGACGGTTGTAATATATATGTATATAACATAATATAATATTATATGATATGATATGATATGATATAATATATATATACACACTATTATGTATTATGTATTATACCAGCATTTTTTCTTAAAACAAGTGTTCAATCCCGTGTTTTGTCCGTTTTTTTCCATCCCCGGACCTAATAAACCCAGCAACAGCCAGCAGGTGCGAGCGGCTGGACGCCGACTTGCAGAGGGTGGCAGGTGTCATGGCTGTTGTCCCGAAATGTGGATTGATTAGGGGAATTTGAGGACAACTTTTTGGTTTTAGATGGTTTAACATTGATAGTTCCATACTATATAATTATGGGAATTTGACCAAAAATTGAGGTTTCATATAGTTTAACATGCGGTTTAATTGTCCTGACATGTGGATTGTGCTGTGGATTGATTAGGTTAGATAGGAAGCCCAAGTCAGAAATAGATGGCATCGGTGCGGAAATGACATCAGGGGTAGAACTAGGAAGGGATTATTTTACTGTGGGGATAGGTCACAGACTTCCAGAATTTTCGACGATTTTGATGTCAACAGGCTAGCTCTGTAAGAATCGTTAAATCATGTTAAATCATACTTCCTGAAAAAAACATTGGGTTCTCGGGGCATGAAGCTGAGCAAACATGAGGATTTCATAGGGTTTCAGCAATTTGTGTCATATCTTTGCCAAGTTAACTATCAAGATTCGCCAATCATCAGCTCTTTCAGGATTTTGCCAAGCAAAAATTGTTGTGGGTCAAAATGTCGGACTGAGAAGACACAGCATCCTGGGATGGAGACACTTATTCACTTATACAACAATGTTTTTTTCGAGGAGGATAACTGATGCCATTTTTGATGATTCCAACTCGTTAGACTACACTTTTGGATGGTTAAACATATACCTAGAGTGTTTGATCTGGAAGGTTGCCATCGAAGCCTGTTGATGTGGTGACAATGGTGTTATCTATACAACCTACGAGTGACAAAGAGCGCTTTGATGGGCTATAACTGGCTACACTCCACTTATTTGTAGTCCTGATTTTTTTCCTAACTTTTAAGTAGTACTCCAGTTGTTGATGGTCATGCTCCAGTTTTTGAAGGTAAGTAACCCTAGCTGGGTCATTCCATTTATAAACAAGAGTCAGAGTGGGTCATAACTCCACTTACTGACCACGGGTATATAATCCAAGAGAACGCTACGGAAAATGGCCTGTTTAGTTCCCTGATTTACCCATCACTGTGATGGTGGTTTTCCAGTTTGCATAATGTTGGATTGGGGGTATACCCGATTTTTCCAGGTATAGATCCCTATTCTATCCTATACTTATATATCCCTATAATTTTCATATTCATATACTCCCTATATACACTAATAATTCAGGGATTAATCCTCATATCCCTATTATTTCCCATATGTGCAATGGTCAAAAGTTGATTCTATACCCATAGCGAGGATGGTCATCAATCCATTTTTACTCGGATTTACATAGCCATTATGTTTGGATTCCCATGGCATGGGATGGATGCTTCGCCACATTCATCCCACGTTTGCTCCCTTTTGTTTCCAGGTAACTTGACCATGCCACATATGCTTTTCGATGATCCGTTAGGTGGTTATTTCTATCAATATATCCTAAAAAGTTTCAACCATATTTCAGGTATAGCTATATTAATCTCTATTAATATCTTTATACCTCTATAGTTGGCTATATATATATATATATATCATGATTCATGAACATGTTTTTCCTATCATCCCTATCTCCCAACATTGAATCTTTAGGCGAATGGCATCGGCTCTGGTCAGAGCGGCAACGAGCCATTGAGGCGTTCCACCTATTTTTCGGCCCTGAAAGGCTTCAGCTGTTTGGATGTGAAAAATGAAAAACAAATTGTTCCAAATCTCCCAAAATTGCAGGGCCTATATTAATTTAGGTGTATATATATATATGTATATATGGGGGGTTTCCTAAATTGGGGGTACCCAATAGCTGGATGGTTTATAGGGAAAATCCTGTTAAAATGGATGATTTAGGGGTTCCCCTATTTCAGGAAAGTGTCATATATATATGTTTTCATATATGATTTTTGTAGATACATATAGCTCATAGAAATTTGGCATGGCTATGACTACATATCTATTGGCGATTGACATGCAATATGGGTTCTGTATATCTTACATATAGATGAAATAGAAGATTCATATGTGTTAATATAGATTTGCATCAGCAATTTAGTCAGAATGACAGTTGCTATATCTATGTATATATATATATATGACCCCCAAGTTAGGATAGGCTTTTGTAATATCAATTTTTAAAACACTGACAAATTAGAACCCTTTCTTTTTTTCGACTTACTAATATATATATATATATACACATAATTATGTATACATGTGCATGGATGTTGCTATGTGGGGAACATATTATGTAGAGCTGAATTATCGAAGGAAGTTTAGAAGTCAAACTTCCGACAATATGGACAGAGGTGGGAAGAGTCAGAGAAGAGAAGAGCAGAAGAGAGAATATCAGAGAAGAGAAAGAGTCAAAAGAAAGAAGATGCAGGTGCGCGAAAAGGTAGGAACGTTGTGAAACACTGTGTTTTTCCAATGATTTGTGGCTCTGGAAGGTCGAAAAGTAGGCTTGTTAAAGCAGCGGGTGCGGAGCCATGTGGTCAGATGAGAGATGAAAAGTTGCACGCCGTTGTGGCTCGAAGCACATTTCCATTTCAAAATGTACAAAGCACACCATGTTCGGACCACTTTTTGGAAGTTGCGATGTCGAAAAAGTGCGCGCCGTTGTGGCGCAAAGCACATGTCGAAGTCAAAATGTACAAAACCATGCTCGGACCACTTTTGGAAGTTGACATGTCGAAAAAGTGCACGCTGTTGTGGCGCAAAGCACATTTCCAAGTTAAAATGTTAAAACAACTACATGCTCGGACCGCTTTTGAAGGTTCAGATGTGGGTTTGCGTGGCAGGCGCAAGTGAGAAAAAACGCGAGGGTTTTGTAGCATTTCCAAAAACGATGGCAGGCGTGGGGGCGTTTGAAGAGGATCTGCAAAGATGCATTTTCCGTGGCAGGTGCAGTACAAGAGAGATGTTCATCTGTTTATCAGAGCTGTTAGGAGGTCCGGGCGCTGATTTCCTGAGAGAGGTTGCATTTTGGAGCATCAGATCTGTAGGTTTGTTAAGATGATTTTGCGTGAAAGGTGCAGCACTTCGTATGACCTGGCCTCACTTTTTCGTGGCAGGCGCAATACTTTGGACAGGTGGAGTGGAAAAATCGCAAAACGCATTGTTGGCAAAAGGCCGTCGGCTTTGCACTCAACTTTCCATTTTTGAAGGAAGTCTCGCAGAATCGCTTCGTTTTTGGTGTTGTCAACCTGAAAAAATGAGGAAGTCTCGCAGAATAGCTTCGCTTTGAAACTTGCAGATGCATGGGTAGATAGATAGATAGAATAGATAGATAGATAGATAGATAAATAGATAGATAGATAGATAGATAGGATAGGATAGGATAGGATAAGATAAGATAAGATAAGATAAGATAGATATATAGATACAGTAGGTAGATAGATAGATCGATAGGTAAACAGAAAGACAAATAGATAGACAGATATATGATATTTTTGACAGACAGATAGATAGACAACTGCAACTGCACTACGCCACGCTACAGCTACAACTTCAACTACGAATATAACTACACTACCACTACAGCTACAACTTCAACTACACTTCAACTACAAGAACTACAGCTACAACCACAACTACAGCTTCAACTACGTTTCAACTACAACTACAACTACAGCTGCGACAGCTACTACAACTACACTACAGCTGCAACTGCATCTACAGCTGCAACTACAACTACAACTTCAGTTACACTACAGCTACACTTCAACAACAGTTACAACTACGACTACAACTCCTACAACTATTTCAGCTACTACATTTACTGCAACTACTACAAGTAAGGCAATTACAACTTCAACTACACTACAACTACAACTACCACTACAACCCACAACTACAACATTACAACTTTAACAACATCAACCCCACTACAACTACAACTACGAATACGACTACAACTACAACTACTGCACTACACCACACTACATCCAGGAGTTGTGAGTGAGGCGGCCACTGCAACCATTACAACCACTCCAAAAGGAACAGCTCCAACCACCTTTCGGTCCATCAGTGGATTCGCTCTGCCATCCATGCGTCACAACAAGCCACCTCTCCTATAGTGTCCCATCCTTGAAACTTCCGCTACCGCCTTGTGCGGTAATACTGAAATAACACGCGTGCAGACACAGCTTTAATCCACCTTCTTGTACGAGGCCTTGACAGACACGGAAAGGTCAAGGCGGGCAGTGGTCGGATTCATCTAAGTTCTTTGGTCGGAACCGTGGTGGTTTTTGGGCGCCCTCTGTCAACGTGGCTGGCTGGCTGGAAATCCCCAAATAAAATGAAGGGTTTAGTGGGGAGATGATCCAAAAATGAAGAAATTTCCAGCAAACCATGTTGGTAATCAAACGTGGCAATGGCCGATCAAACGATGGAAATGGAGGGTTTCATGGGAAAAATCAACTATATAAATGGAGAAATGTCCA